AAGGCACGGGAAGTATGATCTTAGCACGCGTCTGTCAACGCGCATCAGTTATCGATTGAATGCCGACATTTTCCCTCGCAGCGATTTCTCTCGTTTAGCGTTTCACTAAGCGCGGTGAATATCTTACGAATATTAAATGATAATTAATCGTTCATTAAGGTCGGTTATGAAAAACGCTAAATCAGTTAATTGCCGCGTAGGCGGGGACTTGCGTAGTGGGAAAGTCGTTGCCGACCAGAGGTTATGTAAAGCTCAGAGACTTTCTCGTACATAATTAATTGGAAAGCAGCTAATTTCGTTAAAAAGAATTTGTAAACGTTTTTGCATTAGGTTCTTCTATTCACAATAACTTTTCGTTCCTAATTTTTTTCGATTACCTTCAAAAATAGCCGAGATACATTCTGTTGTTTATCGGTCTGACATTCTTGCGGTCACAGTTTTTGAGTCGGCGCAATACAATCCTTATGGAAAAATTGTGGCCTATCGGGCGGTACTCAAATGCCGATATCTCCGTTAATTCTTGACCGTTTTTTGCAAAATTGGTATTGTTTTCTTATTTTCACTTAGATCTATCCACTGGTGCAGATTAAACAAGAAGTAATTCTTGAAGCGTAAAGGTATATGAGAATCATAATAGTTGCAAACAGCTTAGAGGGGTGTTCATATTGAAGTACTTTAGCACTTTTCTGCAATTGGAACTGCCCATCAAACTCATGTTGGAGACTTCATTGAGGTTTTCAATTCATTTTTTTTTCTCAACTATGAAGATCTTTTGAGGTTAACGAGGCATTAATAAATAAAGCTGAGGAATTTGTTTGTTCACTGTATGAAGAGGATATGAAGAATGTAAATGATACCAGGGCACGTCTATTTAACACTGGCAAACATAAGGATTATACTCTTTTCACCCAACAATGATTCACTGAAGAAGCATGTGGCCCTCAAATCAGTTCTTGAGTTGGCAAACTGCAAGTGTAAGAAAAATAATTTATGCAAGTGTGGCAAAATCAACTTAAATTGCACAGATTTTTGTTTTTGTATTGACTGCAAAAATCACAGTACACTTACAGAGGAAAAGTCGATTTTCGAGATAGTGGATTTCGAAAACAATTCAGAAGAAAGTGAATTAGATATTGCAGTTGATTTAATAAGTATCATTTATTTGTTTTTGTCGTAGTCCTGTTTCTAGAAATAATATTGCCTTTGTTCAAATACATAACCACATAAACTAAAAAAAGACTAATTGTAATATTTCTGTTCACTATGTTATGTACATTCATTTAATTTTCTTGACTTTTCCGGTAAATTTCTAAGTGAGAAATAATTGATTTATTTGTGTTTTCGTGCTCACAATGTTAATTTGTGACTTCATTGCTTAAAAAGAAATACGTTTGATGGCTTCTATAAAATGGATGTAGATTTTTATGCTGTTCTTGTTGTAAACTGCTTGGGGTTATTACATAAAATTTATTCGACCTTTCGAGGTCACTCGCGACTCCTGTCACACAATTAGTATTTTTGTTGTTGGTTACATGTATGCCATATTTTTCGTAATCTACCTAATAAATTATGATTGACTGAGAAAGTCTGATTTTGGTCAGGCAAAACGTTACAGAAATACATTTGTGTTAGTGTGCTGTAGGGCACTCGAATTGCATAGTTCTCATGTATGTGTTGTAAACTTATGGTTATTGAATTTCCGGGAACCTCTTATATTCATTTCGCATCAGGATTGTGGAACAAGCTGTAATGCGTTCAGTATGTTCATTTTCACACAAAACTAAAGAATTTATTTAGTTACCAGATGTGCGCTACGAAACTCATTTTCCGGGCGTTTTCAAGGCTTCGTCTCACGGCCCATATCTGTGGTAAGGATGTACAAGTGTTTAAGAACTTACTTATACTTTTTAACAACGTCTTAGCATAACTTAACTAATAATAACTAAACAGGGCTATGCAGTGTTGCCAACTGTTCGGTGCTAAAATAATCTAGAATCTTCACAAAAAATATCTAGAATAATCTAAATAATCCAAATAATAATCCAAAAATACCAAAGTTACATTTTCAATGAAAAAACGAAGATTGTAATGTAAAGAAAAATGATGACTCATATCAATACAGCTTTTCGAACATAAGTAGGGTAACTTAAGTATTTATCATGAGGAAAAATGAAAGCTTGTTGCACCACAATAATTATGGATTTACTTTTTAGTGTCTGCAATCACCGAATATCAAATACACTAATAAAAAAGAAACAATATACAAATAACAATATTTATTGAAGTAAATAGAACATTGAATTTTCCTATTTTACTGTAATTTGGTTCCTTTGTCTCGAAATAGGGATACTACTAAGTTCACACAGCATAATTATCCGTGTGATACAGGTCATTTAATATTTTATTAATTATAAGCAAGTTATGCGACTACATGTACACTTTTGAAAATGTAACAGAAATTACATGTACAAACTACAACTGTTGCAATTCTCTAAAGTTAATATCTTCTACATATGAAAGATCTATGGTATGAGATGCTGAAGTTGACTGGCTCTGATATTGGTAGACAGCGATTGTTCCTATCTCTGTAACGACTTTTGGTGGATACTTGTAAGTGGAGCAGCACTCTTCTTTTCTTATCAACCCAAATTTTACAGTTAAGATGGCATTCAGCAGCTGCAGTGACATTCTGTTTCTTGGTTTTGACTTGACATAATTCATTGCACTAAATACTCTCTCAATTTCAGCATTTGAATGAGGTAGAATTAGGGCTAAAATTGCACACTGGAAAAGTTCTAAAAATGGATTGCATCCTGAAGCATCCCTATAGTCACCCACTTCACTCCAAAAGGCTTCTGTATCATCCTTATGCACCCAGTCCACAACATTTATCTTGCTTAGTTGGTATTCTGCTTGAGAGATAGATTGATCAGGGGCCCCCAAAAATTTCATAACTTCACAGATGGCAGCTTTGTCTTTAAGTGGTTGAAGCATGTTAATAACAGAGAAGCAAGAAATGTTCTGTAGAACTTTAACATTATCAGGTAGACGCTGCTTTAACTGTTTATGCAGTGCCAGTAAAAAATCACAGCATCTTTTTCTTATACAAGTTTCATCGGTATTGGTAAGTTTATTTTGCTTCTTCAAATCTAGAATTTTCCACTCAAATCTGAAGCCTAAGTATGGTTTTGGGTCCAGATACTCTTCAATGTTAGAATTAAGTAGATCAATATTACAGGTTGGCGATACAAGCTTTTTTGCAATTGATTTCATCAGCATTGTTAGATCATTTAATAGTTTCACTTTTTCAATGTTTTTGGATTCAAACAGTTTGTTTACTTGTTGTACTTCAGTCAAAATTGGACTTAGAAACAGAAGGAAGGCCAAATTTTTTTCATCTGAGTACATTTCATACAGAACTTCTGCAGTATAGCACTTTTCTGACAATCGTGAAGGGTTTTTAGTTCCAGCCATTGTTCTAAGATTCTTTGAACAGCTGGTTGAATAGATAACCATCTTGTTTGACAATCTTTAGGAATTTTCAAAGGTGATGTGCCATCATTCAAAGTTTGATACAGAGTCTTATACCGATATTGCCTGGTAGATGAATGTGAGAACCATTTATGTGTCTCGGTAATCAAAAAATTAAGGTGTCTTGGCAGGCTATCTGCCGATGCTTGTGAGACTGCCAATTGAATAGAATGGCATACACATTTTATAAGAATAAGGGATGGTATCTCGGCCCTCAGTTGTGCATGAACACCCTTATTTATGCCAATCATCACACTCGCATTATCTGTTCCGATTGCTACAAGATTCTTCAGACTCAATTTATGTGAACCGAGTACGTTCTTAATAGCTATAACAATGTGTTGAGCATCACAAGCTGTAAGTTCCAGATAGGTTGACACAATCTTTTTTTCAGACATGCCGTAATAAACTATAGATATGCCTAGTAACTTATGTACTGTTATGTCTGTGGACTCATCTATCAGAATGCTAAATCTGCCATCACCAATATCTCGTCTTAGGTCTGTTTTAAAATGCCCACACAGAGTATTTCTTATGATATGGGTACATTTAGTTCGGTGCATTTTCATTTCAGACACTGTTTTGTTTGTAGGGAGATTTCTTTTACATAAATCAACTAAATGGTCGCAATTAGAAATAGCTGAGTGGCAACATAAAATTGTGGAAATAGACGCTTCCAGCTCTGCTGTTTCAGAGTTTTTAAGAGTCATAAATGGATCAAGAGTCCTGATAGTGAATGGACAAGCTTTCAAATGTTTTTGAGTTTCAGAATGCTGCTTCAAATCTTGATATTTTGCTTTGACATCACATTTACAGAACTTGCAGAATGCCTTAGATGCATCAGCTGCCACGGGCGCTATCCATATCTCCCTTGGCTGCTTGTTGTTTTGAGCACTATTACTGCAGTACCTTTTCTGTATTTATTCTCTACATATGTTATTCACTGCTATAGGTACCGGTGAACTGCACTTCACTTCTTTGCCACTATACAGCTAGAGAACAATGCAAAATAACATTTGTCAAAATAATCTAAATGAATGCTAAAATAATCTAGAAAATAATCTAGCATCTAAATGGGTATTTCTTACATCTAAATCATACGAAAATAATCTAAATTTAAATAATCCAAGTTGGCAACACTGGGCCGCAAGATCGAACAGTAATAACTAAGATTCATCCGCTCGCCAACAGCTGATTCGATTCAATTGTTACGTCACGCAGAAGTCATTGTTCTTTGCCAGAAATGTAGAGAATATAGGACAGATCGTAGCACATTTTACTTGTCGTAAAAGCGTCTTTTCCGTAAAACGTGCAACTCTTGGAAGTGGGAACAAGGCAATACTTGTTACTAAATTTTTAAGGAACATTTTGAAACCAATTTTAGGTAGTTACCTGATGTGCGCTACGAAACTCACTTTCTAAGCGTTTTTCAGGGCCTCGGCTCGCGGCCTATCAAGTTTATATGAGTATGTGCATATATGGTATGTACCACTCAAGGGTGAGTTTCTTAAGTAATATGTGGCTAATCTAGCAGAAATGCGTTCCTTCCAGGCTTGGGGAGGTCAACGACTATATTTCATTCCAGCTTGGGGAGGTCAACGAATATATTTCATTTCAGCTTTAAAAGACTTTAGATAAGAAGATAAGTCAGTAATTTGTTTTTTCTCCGACTGGTGCAAACTGAAGACGGAAGTAGTGGCAGAACTCGCGTACATAGCGTGAGTTTTCCCAACTGAAGAATTTTCGCAGCGAGTCCGAAGATTCGCACATCGTCTGATTTGAGTCTAGTTAATAAAAGAAAAAAGAATCACGAGGTACTGTGACGTCATGTATTTCCTCAGGCTGTCGCCATATCGCCATTGACGTTTGTTGTTTTCTGTTGATTTTGCTGTTTTCAATCGGTGTTCCAGTTAGTGTCTTTGACCTCTTCCGATTTCTGAATGCGAGTTGAACTATGTGAAGAAATCAGTTTACCTGCCTGTAAAGAGGATTTGGGATCCGAATTGGGCGTCCTCTACGATAAAATTTCGCGGTCAGCTCGGCGCACATTCAAGGAAAGTGAGCGAAGATGGCTAGAGCAGTTATTGACGACTACAGGACGTCATTGGAAGATTTGACCTTCAATTCGAAACCTCATATCAACGCGCTAACTATGTTAGCTGAAGAATATCTTCCCCATGCAGATGTTATCGTTCGTTTGATAGAAGCCAAGTTAAATAAGGTTTAGAATGGTTTATTAAAATCTGTTTCATGGTTTATTGGTCTGCTATGCTTCTTTCTGTCTAAAAGCCAGACTGGATTCCATGGCAGGTGCACGCCCGAGGGCGCTAGCGCTCCGCAAAAATGCACGCGAGCGAAATCAATTTTGCACGCCGAAAATTTGCAATTGCTCACCAATGTAAATCGGTTTAAATGGTTTTAAAATCAATAATCCAGTAATATAAAGATGCCAAAATATTATACCTCCACAATTGTCGACAAATACCAGCTTGCAAGATTTGGTCTGATCGAAATATTGCGAAGCAAAAAGACCATGGACCTTTCCCCAACCTTTGACCCGCGAAAAATTCCTCTCATTGTTACGTCCTTTTTTGCATCTTGCTGATTGGCCAATGTCACGAAGTAAACAAGGAAGTCGATGCTCGGTGAAAGGTCCAAATCGTGTTGAATGATAGGAAATAGGAATCCCGTGAGAATAGTTATGGACGAAAAGATCGCCTCCGCACCAATGGCCAAGTACGGCTCTGATTCAGCGTATTTTCCATACAATAATTTTACACGAATGTACTGAACAGTACCGGTATCTAAAGTTGCTCAAACACTCCCAAAATTAGTGGCTAAGTATGAGAATAATGTTTGGGGTCAAAGGTCAAACGTCCATTTTGCTCTAATTTGACGTAATTTTTATCCATTAATTCTACGTAAAAACACTACCAAAATTAATGACAAAGTATGTCCATTTTGCTCTGGTTCAACGTATTTTTTATCCAATAATTTTACGCGGATGTACTGAACAGTACCGGTATCCAAAGTCGCACAAACACTCTCAAAATTAGCGACAAACTGTAGAAATAATGTTTGGGGTCAAAGGTCAAACGTCCATTTTTTCTCTGATTCAACGTCATTTTTATCCGATACCGGTAATTTTACGCGGATGTATTGAGAGGTATCTGATGTCAAAGTCAGTTGCACGCGAGTGCAGTTGTTTTGCACGTCGTGAGCTATAATTGCACGCCAGGAATTCTTATTTGCACGCGGGAATTTCTGATTGCACGCCCGATTTCTCGTTCAAAAAGGCCATGAAATCCAGACTGGTCTAAAAGTGTAGTGCTAACTTGGCAGGGTTAATTCGTCTGAGGCCACAGGGCTGTTTCCAAAAATCCTAAATCCGATTTTTTTTATTTGCAATGTAGGCAAATATCTCACTAATCCAACTAAGGAGTAGAAGGATCGAATGGCCAAATGTATTTTGATACCTCAGAAATTGTGTTCTGAAGTGTAGATTGCTAAAATTATATTATTAGTATTAATGTGGGAAAATTATGAAAGAAAATTTATTTATTTCTATTAATACCTAAATATATAATTTCTCATTTTCCATTCAGATTTCTGACAAATTTGTAATGCCTTTTTAATATGCACAAAAAGCCACCATTTGTGACATGACATTTATTTCATAATATATTTTTCTGTGGTTCTTGGACCAATTCATTCTGCCAATTTATTTTTTAGTTCGATAACCTGTATGTAATCTGAACGTGCAAGACCTATTTTTTCTGGCATTTTTTCACATTGTATTTTTATTTATTCAAAAAAAGAAAAATTGTACGGCCGAGATTTTCATGTTTGTATTGCTGCTCTGTGAGCAAACCTGTTCTCAGCCAGTGATGTGATACATAGGTTTAAGCTGGTTGGACTTTTTAGCGACACATGGGCCGCCATGCTCGGGTTAATAATTAGGGCCATGCTGTTTAACAGCTGTCTTTAGCATTCTCTCAGGTATTGAGATGTTGCTATAAAAGTTAGGGTGTATTGCACCTTATTTCTCTATTTTGAGTCGACATATTTTGAAAGATTATAAAGGATTCCTGTTGTGGTGAAATACAGAAATAGGTGGAAACATGTCTTGGTTACTTTAAGCTGGCGAATGCTTAGCTGATGAGTTCAAGAAAATGTCGCGTGCATGATGGTTATAATACTGATGCTGTCAGCGGTTGTGATATCGGCTGCACCTCAGAAGTTTGGGTGAAAAGGTGCTCATAGAGAGTATTGAGTGTGCCAATATTGTGCATACTATATTGCTTTCAGGGTATGGGGATAGAATTGGGATTTGCTGTAGATAATTTAGCTTATGTTGTCATCGGAAGACAAATAAATAAACCTTCCATGGCAGACATTTGTGTGCATGCTTTTATTTCATTATTTTTCAATTTGTACGACATTCAAACAATTTCAAACATCAGGCTCCATCGAACGGAAAACTACCTCTTATGTACCTGATGGATTCAATTGTCAAGAACGTGAAGAAGAACTATGTTCCTCTCTTTGCTGAAAACCTCGTAAAAAGCTTCAATACAACTTTTGACACGGTATGAAAACTACTGAGAATTGTTTTCTTTATATGTCATCAAGTGCTAAAGATACTTGTCATGTTCTTTCAGGGTGATGAAAAGACCAAGATATCTTTATACAAGCTTCGTTCCACGTGGGACAGTTATTTTCCATTGAAGACTCTTTACAAACTTGATGTAGCTGTGAACAATATTGATTCGGCCTGGCCAGTTAAACCTCTTCCTGCAAGTCTTCAAGAAAAGCCTTCTACAAGCATCCATGTAAATCCTAAGTTTCTAAAAAAGGTGATGGTGAAGTATGGCTTCTGTTGGTTATTTTTTGTTAAAATTTTAATTTTGTGCACATTTGAATTGCATGGTATTTTTGTGTGATAAAATTATATTGCTGAAAGTTTCCTTTTTTTATTTTTATTTTTTTTACAGGTTGATGCTGTTCCAGTCACAAGTGTTGCGGTTGATACCCCAGTAAGTATATGCTCCACCTACAAACGGCTATGTTACTTAGGTTTTAAGACTAAAGGTATTTCAAACAATGCATACCTCTTCGATAATAAAAATTGCAATTTATAATGAACGATATAATGAGAGCGTTCAGAAGACTATGAATTGCGAACAGCCTTAACTGTTTGGTGTACATTTTAGGGTTTTGATTTTTTTTTTCTTGGATAAATATATCTTATAATAGTGGATGATAATTGGTAAATTCATAATCCTGAGGAAACTGTACAGATGCCTTGTCGCCGTATCTTTGGTAAAGACAGTTACTATGTGGTGAAGTATTAAAAGTTCCAATTTTTTTACCGAAGAATTTTCAGTCAAGTGAATTATACCAAATCTGAAAAAATGAAAATGTACTTTAAATCAAGCTCCACTCCTGAAATATGCAGAAGATATATACTATGTTAAATTATCAAAGCCTTTGGTTCTATTTTGTGGATCGATTTAATATAATAGAAAATAAAAGATGTAAAAAAATCAGCGCGTACACTACAAATATGTTTATGGGAAATGGCTGCACTTCGATAACAATTTGAAAAAATATATAAACAAAAAAATTACCGAAGTTATATTTAATAGGAAATGCAACAACTGTATTTGAATCAATGATGGCATCAGAGTGGCAACTCTCAGTTAATAATGTGAGACCTAAATCAAAGTTTTAATATTCAAAAAAGCGTCTTCACAGATCTTCTAATAGAAGTCCACACTATTAGCAATAGAGGCTTTGAAACTGCTGGAGGTTAAATTCAGATCTGGTATATGAGAATATAAACTGAGACAATGTACTAAATAAGCATTTGTGTGTCTCAAAGAATAGTCAACAGGGTATCAAAAGTTTTACCTAGATCAATTACAAGATACTAAATATTCATTAGCGTGAAAACAAGTTTGTTGGCTTCGAATCTGCAGAAAAGGATGACGAAAAATAAATGTAGATGAAGTAGGAAAATTCAGCTTCGGTTTTCTCTGATTGTGTCTTTGGCCTTTTCAGTGGCTTTTGTAAATTTTTAGGTTCTTTGTAGCCAAATCAATTGAAGGGGACACCCGTTGTTGATCAGTGTTTCTCAAACATTTTAAGCCGCGCTTTAAAATCTTTCAAGTCATGTGCCCCACCACAAAAATAACTAGCAAGCAATAAGCGACAAATAAAAGATAGTATTATTCAAAAAACACATAAAATTACTGGGATGGAATGTAAATATTGAAATAAAAAAGAAGTTTTGAAAATGTAAATGTCCAAAATAAGGCAGGCAAGATCAATCTAACAAATATTTTTATTTTCGATTAGCTCCTCGTCCCCTTAAATTATCTGCGTTCCCTACCTTTTGAGAAGCACAACATTCGCCAAGCCAAAACTAGTATAATCCTTCAATAACATAGCAGGTGATAAAAACGAGTGGCATATGCCAAATGCTACTTGATGCGTATTCTGAAATCAATTCTATTCAATTTACGTATTGTTTAGTTGTTTGTTCTGTGAGCCCGGGTTGAAATCCTATTCTGAAATGAGTTTAACATGAATGGTGACAAAGTATAGCATTGACCTAATGGAGTTGAAATCAAGTAGAAGTTGACATATATATTTAGCATTTGTTTAAATCACTTGTTTCGTAGTAAAAGTACTGTACCTCTAACCTTAATTTCTAACAAAATAAAAAAGCGATAAAATAAAGTATAATTTCGGAGCACGTATGAAAACTGTTTCGCTGAGATTGGGTATGGCGAGTTTATCATGACGAAACTTATTTGAATGTGAACCAAACTTGGATCAATGTATGTATTGGGACAGTAAATTGTGTGAATCTTCAATGGGATTGATGCGCGAATTATCTAAAATTATGAAATATAAGTATAGTAAAGCTGTATGTTTCTCAAACTGTTTTCATCCTGCGATAGCGAATTGTGGCCCTATTTTTGGTATTGGGCCTTATCATTTCAAGACATGTGATTGCATACGCATATCTGCATAATGTTACCATCATTTCCCAAGGTATAATCCAATGTTTCTGGTTGCGCTATTTTATTATACATAGAATGGAGCTGGAGTACTCAACTGACAAGGGTGTCAAAAATTTTTTTTATACACACTTTCTGAATTGTTTAAGATATATGTGGTTCACTCTTTTGAGTAGTCCAAACAAAAATACTCTGGTATTTGCTGATGTGTTCAGAATAAAACTCATGGATTTTCATGATTATGTCTGTTTATTGTGTATATGAAATGAAGTGTTCAAAAAGAACTGTCAATTGTCTTATGTAATGAAAATTCGAATTAACAAATCTACATAGATTTTTGCATCTGTGTGCCAACAAATGTCCAGATGTAGGGTAATTCATAAAAAAAAAATAGGTAAAACAAATACTATCAAATTTTATTCATTTAACCAATCACAACCAGAATATTGTAAAATATTCCTGTACTTGATTGATTATCTAATTTACATTGCATTATTGTGCTAATTGCCTCTCAGATGTGTTTAGATTGTAATCAATATAAGGTACCGTAATTACAATTGACTTATTGATCCAAATCATCACATTGGCTTCATCAGATCAAAATTGATCTCATAATATATGTTTTCAGGCCGTTCATGACAGCGTCGACCTTAAACAAGATTTAATAAACAAACAAAAACAATTATTGGATCTGCAGCAACAAAAGTTGTTGTTAGAACTTGAACAAACAAAACAACAACTTGCAATGAGAGAGAAAAGAAATCAACTCGCTGCTAAGAAGCAGGTATTTCCCATATAATGCAAAGTTTATTAATGACCTTAAGAGGTTTTTTGAAAGGTGCTCCTGAAACATTTTCAATATGTCATAATGGGAAAGTATGTTTCGTTAGATATCTTGACCTTCAAAATGTTGTTTTTTCACTGACCTTTCATAGGGCAATTTTATGTTAATGTATTAGATGCATATTATTGAAATTAAAGCTGGTATGCTAACTCCGTGTATAAAAACCTATTTTCGCTCCTTTTTTTGTCATGTTGATCTTCGAATTCCTAATTGACAATATTTTCATATCTTTAGCCTGAAGCTGTTTCAAAAGATCCAAGATTGAAGCAAGCTGCTGCTTCCGTAGCTCCAACAGGTATAACTCGAATAGCAAATTGTTATTACTTTGTTGAAAATATAAGTGTACAAAGTAGTTCATTTTTGTAAGTGAAATAAATTGGTGATGTTCTCGTGCTATTGTTAGGCCTGGAAGTCTTGAACAGTTCTGTCTTTTTAATATCCCTCACCTTCGAATATTCATGTACCCATGCTACACTATTGGAACTACTAAACTAAATTCTTTAGTAGTCAGAAGTGAATATATTTGTCAAACTTTTGAATTTGTTCTCCTTTTTTTTGGTATACGCACACTATAGTCAAATTGCTTAATTCAGAGCATTCATCCCTAGCGTAACTTGATTGTCTCGATCGATGGAATGAATAGAATCTGTCAGCGATGTGCATAATTTATTATGAATTTCCAATTTTTAGGACTAAGGGTGACTGTTGTAACAAATGGCCAGAAGCCTCAAGTTCGTGGTAATACCAAAGATCCAAGAAATCAAACTGCTGCTAAGAACACGGTGAGTACTCTTACTCTTAGTTATTATTTTATGTTCTTTCAAACAGTATAGGATAAAATATAAAAGTTTCCATCAAAAAGTTTTTTTTTTATCACTATTAGTGACGTGGAAAGTGCAAATCACAGCTGCATGTACCTATGTATGATACAAAACAATAATCTACCATCAAAATTTGTACTTTCGTCTTATGTAAAGACATATCTTTAATATTGTTATTAATGCTAGAATTGGTTTATTTATTGGGCAGAGATGAATTTTATATTTTGGAATTGTTATGAATCTGAGAAAAAAACTAAATTTTACAGATAAAAATAGTACTTTTTTGCTTTAAAAGTTGATCTGGAAATTACATATCTTAATAATGATGCCGACGTTCTAACTCTATCTAGCATCCACCATCTGCTGAGACTAAAAAACAACCTGCTACATTGGATCCGAGGGCGAAGAATGTAGCCATTAAGAAATCTCCTGCAAATTCTCCTGCAGAAAAGCCAAAAATAGTTAAAAAGTCTCCAAATGACACGGAGAAAATTAAAAAGAAAAAGGTATCGCCACAGACTGTAAAAAGGTTGGCAAAAACATCACCTAAAAATTTTGCTAAAAATGAGGTAAAAAAGACGAAATTATTTAAAAAGAAAACTGAAGTAAAAACAGTCAAAAATACACAATCGGAAGCTGTTCAACAATCAAAAGAAAACATTAGACAAAAGGGACAGTTGAAACATATAGATGGAGAAATATCAAAGAAACGGGACAGACCTGGTCGTCGTTCACCACCTCGTAATCAAGCACCTCCTGCTAAGTTAGCCAGGAGAAGCACTTCTATTGAAAGGCGTAGTCCATCTTCCCCCATCAGAAGACGCTTAGAACACCCGAAAAATGCACCAATACAAAGGAGTGCTGCTGCTAGAGAGGTGGAACAAATACGACGAGATTCCCCAATGCCCTCTGATGGATCAATCTCACCTCGCTTTTCTCCAGAGCCAGATGAATCACCTGTTAAACGCAATCGGAACTGGAGACCACCTGTCAAACGAATCCGACACATCCAATCACCACCTGAAAGTTGGCAAAGAGAAGAAATGCCACGTAAGATACAATTATTTAGAAATACTCTATATTTCTTTTTAATATTCATATTTATATGTGTATCCGAGTTTGATAATTATATTTCATCATTCTGTACATTATTATTATTAGCTCGTCCGAGTCCCCCAGTAAGACGAAGAACAAGTGTGGATCCCAATGTTCGAATACCTCAGGAACTAACTCTCGGTCATCAAGCTGAAATTTTGAAACAGGTATAATCTCACACTTCATAGCTTTGATATTCAAACAATTGGGATAATGGTATGATTTTAGTTCGTTTCTTCAACTTTGCAATGCTCAAATATATGGGCACGGATGTCAAATGGCTAGCATGACCATCGCTATGTCTACAAAAGCTAGCTGTTACGGTCTAACTTATCTATTAGAAATTTCAGACCCCCTCCCTACCTTGAAAAAATTTCTTTCTACGCCCCAGCTGTGAATTATAAACCAGCAAAATTCTGGGTGAAATATTACATAAATCATAAAAAAAAATTTGAAAAAAAGCAGTAATTAACTTATAGCGAATTTTTCCATATTTAAGTGCTGCAAATTCAAAATTGATTATTTTCGAAGAAGAGCTATTTCTTTTTCACAACAGCAACAATTCAGCTTTACTTACACTTGTTGTTCGATAAGAATCGAGATTTTATAAAAATGGGTTTGCTAATTGCTCTAATTGAATATTTAAGAGTTAATTGCACAGAAGATTTATAGAATATTGAACTGTAAAGACATTCTTAATTGCAATGAAATTTTTATTTTGTAGGCTGAAATTCAACTTCAAAGTGGGCAGTTGACTCACACTCAACATCAGGAACTCCTAAAACAACTTCACCAACTGTTTGAATTACAGCGTCTTCGAAGTCTACAACATGTTGGTATGTAATTTGGCCTTATTGGTGGGAATGCTCGTAATCTACTAATTTTTCTTTGGTGATTTAATATATAATATTTTCGTTATATATTTGGTGTTACTAACCATTCTAAAATGCAATTCTCAGCTCACCATGAAATGCCATTACGAACCCAGCCACCCATACCACTGAACCACCATAGGATACACAACGAAGACTATATTCAACATGACCAGGCTAATTTTTCGCATGATGTTATGCAAAGTACGCTTTTCTAACTACATTAAATTGCATTATGAAGTCAAATATATATATTTTTTGATTGTCGTATTCTTTCTACAGGGCAAGATGAGAATAGACCACCACCATTCAGACCTCCGCCTTCACCACCTAGAATGGAAATGGAACAGAGAGACCGAAATGATTTTTCAAGACCACTTCATTCCCAGCGGTATGTATTTTAGTTTCAAAATGGTTGTTGTTGATTGTTTGTTAGTCTTTTTTTCTGGGTCGTATCCAGAGAGTGTTTGTTTGTCTTGAACATTCTGTATCACCAAATTGATTTTTTCTTGAATTTTTTTTTCGACATGACCAACTGAGAATATGTACGTGTTATTCCAAAATGTATTTGGAGAAGTAAATAATTTTTGGCCATCCCTGAATGTAAAAGCTTAGTTTTACACCTCAATTGGGAGTCTCATCTCATAATGGGTATATAAAAATTCCATGCTTTTATTAATTAATATTTACAAAAAGTTTTCTATTTACAGTCTTACCCCACCGCCGATGCCTCCCACTGATCCAAGGATGAATCATCATCCATATCGTCCTTCTCCACAAAGAGAAGACCAGCATTTTGTTGGACAAGATGTTTATATTGACCATATTGAACCTCCACCTAGGCCAGCTTTTCTTAATGAACGACATGAACAAATGGAAATTGATAATAGGCGTCGCGGACCTGGTCCTGGACCTATTCGAAGGCGCCATAGCGGAGAATGGGAGAGACCACCACAAGGGCGTTCTGTTGGTGGGTATGGAGAAGACACTGGAAATGTTTTTGTTATAGAAAGCAGTTCACAATCTCCAGTAAGGGAAGAACCATTTCTACCTATAGATGCACCAAATAATAGAGGAAGGCATCCTAGAGGCTTCAGACAATCAAGAAATCTGAATTCACAAAGGGGAAAGAAAGTACACTCAGAACGAGTACCACTCCGAGCTTATGCTCACCCTGAGACTGAATCTGAGCCTCGGCGCCCAGTACCTTTAAAAAGGAAAGATACTCGGGATAGACCGAGGCGTTCCCCACCTAGAAAGACTCAGGATAGAAAGCTACCTCGACACTCACGTAAACATTCTCCAGTTTCCGAGCGAAATAAAAGAATTGCAAAGAAAAAGGATGAGAAAAAACAGGAAAAGAGTGATGGGGAGGAAGATATCCCAAGATTGGAAGAACCAGAAGATTATATTATCGCTAATATTCCTCCTGAAGCTGAAGTTTATCATAAACATTCAATGTCTTTGAAAAAGACACGGACGGCATCTGATTCCGCACAACAAGACTTACAAAAGCAATCATCGTCAGAAAGTTTATCAGATGTAAAAGAAGAAATTACGGAAGTTGTTCCGAAATCTGATGAAAATGCTGGAAATAATTCACTAATGCATTTATCTTCTCCGGACATCAATAAGAAAATAGATGAAGAAGTAAATCGATCTCCATCTTTGCCGTTGAAGAAAAGAAAATATTTAATTTCGTCTTCTAGTGATCTTAAAGATGATGCCGGTACTACAACAGAGCCAGAATCTGATACAGCTGATTTGCAATTGAAAGATGCTGCCACTGTGGAGATTGAAAAAAAAGATATTCAGTCGCCGAAACACGATGGTGAAAGTGAAGACAAAGACGAAGAAGAGAAGCCGGAAGTTGACGATGATCAACCATCTGAGAAACCTACTGATAATCTTATCAACAAAGAGCAGGAATTAGACTCTAAAGATAAGGAATCTGATAATTTATCAAAAGAATCAGCTTCCATTGAAAAAGAAATAGCGGCGGAAGATAAAACTGATTTAGAAAAAATTGAAAATGCTGCACAAAATGACAAGGAAGATACTGAAAAGACACCTGAAAAGTCGCCTGAAAGGGACATAAAGGATAATAAACATGAAGGGAGATTGAAAAGGATTCAAGAACTTGCCATGAAAGATGGATCAAAAACTCCTGCTCAAAAAAAAATGATGAAAGACCGAATAATGGAGAAAGGCCGTGATAAGTCCCGCAATAAAGAGTAATATATATTAAAATATTGGTTTTCATATTGATGGGGTGAATAAAATTTTCCAAGAACATAGTGAACTGCAGACAGACAATTTTCAATATTAGAATTTTTTTTATTTAATTTTTCCCAGAACGGAACTTTGATTCAATTTGTCATTTTGAACGTATCAAACTGCAGATGGCCCCAATTTTCATTTTGGAATTTTTTATTATATTATTTTTTCCAAACAAATATTTGATTCAATTTGACTCTTCAAACTTTCTAGGGGACGTTCAAATTATTGTTTCAAGTATGTATATAACATCGGTTTTGGATTATCAAAATTCCTTTGCGAACATTTTTTGACCTATTAATAGATGATTTAAAGTAGTATCTAATTATTTGAATTACTTTTGAACATGCAGTAAAGGACGAAAAAGGGAAGTAATGGACGACGAAAATTTAACCAAATCAGAAAAAGAGAGGATGGACGTCATGATGGCGGAAGAAGAAGAAATGCTGAGATGGGAAGCAGAACTTGAAAAAGAATTGGAACGAGAGGAATTTGCCAGAATACAAGAAATGGAAGCTCATGGTAGAGGTCCGATGCAAAACAGAGGTGGTGGACCTATGAGACGGGGATGGGGGAGGTAAAATTTTAAATAATATAGAAAGGTTTAATATTTTTGATTTGGAATATCTAAAACAATCTGAAATTCATCTTACATTTAATATATTTTATATAACGGTACTGATTTTCAGTAAATTAGTAATCTACTTTTGTGCCACATTATCTTAGATAAATACCTTTATCGATTTTAACTTGGATATTATTATTCATGTTACATGTATATTTTCAAAATTTGTTATATAAAAATTTAGAAATTTTCTATTCTAAATTTATAAAATATAAGTATTTCAGCTACTCTTATTTATATATTTTTTTTCATCACTTGTAGGAGTCTAATTAATGTGATTTAATGTCATATGTATTTGATTGTTAGGTCGTTTCAAAGAAATATATTTCATCGATACATTTTTACCTAAATATTCAGAGATAGAGGTGGTGGACGAGGTTTTGGCAGAGAGAGAAGAGACGGTCGAAGAAACTGGGGAGGTAATGAAGAATTCTGGGAAGAAGAACCACCGGGCAGAATTCCTCCACTCATGCCCATGGACAAGGATAGACCCCCATTCCCAGATCGGCGACGCCCTGAAAGAATGCGTCCCCATCCAGACAGAATGCCACCACATCCTAGGGACAGAGAGTGGTTTGGACCACATGACAGGTTTGACAGTTTTTTCCATATTGTGTCTGCACTATAAAAAGTACTCTTAGCATGTTGCTCTGTGATTCAATAAATCTGAAAATTTCAATTTCTCTTGAGAACTGCTTGAATCTAAAAGCAGGGAAGGCCAAAGCTGGATATTCTACTATTCTGAACAAACTCTGAAATAATAAAATTCTTTAAAACTTCCTACTTTCTGTAGGAACAGGAGAGGTCCTCCTCCACCCGAGTTCGATGGACCTTGGGTCGATGATGAACCTCGAGGTCCACCAATGAGGGGTGGACGATTTGAACCCAGAGGTAGATTTAGACCTGGACATGGTCCTCCAGATGACCGAATGTTGCCACCTCATCATCGGGATGAAAGAATGGAAATGGTGAGTTCTGAAATTTTCAGAATATCTGAACACGATGAATAATTTGTAATTTACATGATTTTTTGTTAGTACCTAGTGTTGGCCTAATAATTAGGATGCCCCACTTAACTATTTTAGAAATCTCCGGATCAAATGCTTTACACATTACCTTATCCATGGTGTACAAAATTGACAAGACGATGTCTGACGATAAATTTTTCAGTTCTAGAAATAAGAGCTCCTTATGTATTAGTAGCTGCTTGTACAGAGCCATGTTTAGAGCAAAGATATGAAAACGACCTATAATAATTTGATTGAAAAACTTTTTCTATTTAGAATGATCGAAGAGGTCCACCAATACGCGATGATATGCCGGGTCCTCATCCTATGCACGAACCTCGAGGACCTCCATCTCCACCTCGAGATGAGATGAATCAGGTCAATGTAAACAAACTATTGAGTGACTTACTCAATATGGGAATTATACCTGGAAATAAACCAAAACCTGTTGAAGCTGAAAAGCCATCGAGCGGTCCACCAAGTCGCAATGCAAGTCCACTGCCAATCAATCCAACTCTCGCCAATATTGTAAAGCCAGAAAAACCAGCATCCCCTGATCTGGACGCTTCGGCTATAACAAGCTTAGCCAAGGTTGGTACACAGTTGGCTTGTAAATCCTAATCTCTCACACCTTGAATTGCACTATCTGGACAGCTTTATTGCCATATAGGAACGCAATATAATTGGGGATTTTAATTCGCAAATAAACTGTATGAAACAATTTGGCTGGGTATCTTTATCATGTAATTAAACTTATTCTAGGCTGACATTATAGAAGAATCATTTCATAGCGATAATAAGGATTTTGGAACCAACACTGAAATATTGCCTGCTAGGAGTATCAAAAATGAATCAAAAATTTGAATACATTGCCATTTTAGCATCTGCTGCTCATTCAATTTTAGAAGTTTGGCATAGCAAGCCTTTTAATAAATGAATTGAAAGAAAATTGGGATTCGATTGGCTCAAACCTATGTATTTACTATTTTTGTGCATCACTTTAACAGTTTTTCTTTGCATCTTTGTATTAGAGTTCTGTTGCAATAGAACAAGAAGCAACACGAGTGCCTACACCAGTATTTGAAGATTTGTTAACTCTTGATCCAGATGCAAATCTACCTGAAGTTACATTCAATGACGTTGATAAGTTAAAAATGTGAGTTTGTTTGTTATATTCCTAATTCCTCATCTATCCTTAATAAATTGTCATGTAAAGTAATTGTTCATTCATTGAATCTATTTAAATTGTTGGAATTTAAAAATTCTCTGACTGCCTGAAGTTAATACAGTTTGACTAACATAAGGTTTGGTAAAGTCAAAAGTGTGTCGAATTGTCTGTCAACTCGACAGTTGGACTTTCAAATTGCCGGTTCTTAAACTTTCATGATTCATGGCCCCTTTTCAAAGACTCTCAGCACTCTGTGCCCCCTCTTTTATAATAAAAATATGCAATTTTGCTTTCAACATGCTTCTTTATGGTTCACATTTATTAATGAAAAGCCAACAAGTGAGAGGTAAAGCTTTGAAAAATTAAACAAAGCGCAGTCAATTCGATTTAACCTGATATTGTCATCATGAATGGTGCCTTGTGAATGCCTTTTGTCGTGGCCCTCAGATAACTTATTTGTGGCCGCAGTTCCTGACTTAAACTATATCAATAAATATAGTTTTGCTTATTTTTTCACTGAGTTTTCTTTTCTTTTTTAGAAGATGTGATGATCTTATTAAAAGACTTTATACTGGAATCCAGTGTTCTGCTTGTGGAATGCGATTTACTGCTTGTCAAACAGACATGTATGCTGAACATCTTGACTGGCATTATAGAGCCAATCGCAAGGATAAAGATGGAGTAAAGGAAACACACAGAACTCTTTATCCCACAGCTGGGGTAAGATTTATTTTCTGAAGGAATTTATATCGATTTTCAATAAATATGTTCAAATATAATGATTCTAACTTGACTAGAGTGAAGATGACTTCTCTAAGTGATTCAGAAGTCTTACTGCACACTGGCAAAAATATGTCTGTTGTCTTTTTTCCGACCAGTACCAGACTCATTAGTGTATAGGTGTACAGCAAGAATCTTGAATCTCCCAGAATGATACTGCTGAATACATCCACCTACAGTCACCAATAGGCCAAAATAGCCTCTTCAGTTTGCAATAATATATCCGGAGCGAATTCTTATTCTATTAAATTTTTTTCGGCTATATCTAATTGTTTTCAATTTTTCTATTTTAGGAATGGATAATGTATGAAGAGATTGTTGATCCCTCCCAAAGAGCTAAGAATCAAGTATTTGATGAAGAAATGGAACAAGGAGAAGAGACTGAAGCACCGGCAAAACCACAAAATTCTGAAGATTTAGTAGTACCTGTTGCACAACACCCCGAACAGGATGTAAGTCAAACAACTCCAAAAAGCTTTGTTCTGGAACATGGCCATAAGAGCTTCCTGACTAACCATGAGAAATATTTCACAATCTTATGATGATGCTTTCAGCTTAAATTCACATACTGGATCGTACCTAAACAAGTAATACCCACTAGATATAATAAAACAATCTTTTTGTTTTCATTTGACAATACTTTATCTATTTCTTAGAAATGTAATGTCTGTCATGAAGCATTCAAAACAGTATATAACGATGAAGAAGAGGAATGGCAATATGTAAACTGTGTTGCAGTAGACGGCAAAAATTTCCATCCAAATTGCTATGCAGATCACAATGATCAACGCGACTCTGATCCGTTACCTGTAAGTTGAGAAAGGATAATCTTACTAGTATGACTAGTTGATTGCAAATACACAAATACCTATTCTCGAAAGCTGTGTCGTTGAGTGAAAGTCTTGCTGTGTGTTTGCCTTGACTGAAATCAACAAAGATCATGTTCATATGTTTTATGAAGACACTACTCGTTTTATGTATTATAGGTTTCTTTTGGAGTCTTCCGATTTAGTTCTTTTCTAGATTTTGTTTTAGTGAGGAGTTCATTACACCTTTCTAACAAGAAATAATCAGCCACTAATAAGTGAAGACCTCTTAATTTTGGGAACACTGGATTTTTTCCGGTGTATCTTTTCCCACCTAATTCACTACACCCAGGGTGAAGTTGTAATCGAACATGTATAACTAACGATTCCATATTTTTAGACGCCCATCAGAGTTCCGCTTTATAACCCGATGGAATCAAGTTTAAAGGGAATCCCCGGACTTGATACTTTACTTACTCAGGACGAATCAAAATCAGAAGAAGAAGTATGTAACACATCTGTATATTCAGCCTTTCATAAGCCACATTCATTCACACAGTCAATATATATGATTATAAGTCGAATTTAACAAAATTTGAATTATTTTTCATGCATTAAATATTATATCATAATACAAACCTTACTTAGATCTGGATATAACACCTTACACCATAGATACTTATTGATTCCAAATTACAGAATATTACTCTCTGCAGTTGGTAAAAAATAGGATTGTAGAATAATTTGAATGTATATTCAATTTCTACTACCCCGTCAGTTATGGATGAATTAAAAATTAAAACTTTGTTATATTATAGGCTGATGAACAGAAGGAAAATGCTGACCAACCAGAGGAGGAAAAAGTTGATGCCGAATCTGGTTTGGCAGAGAAAGATCAACAGGAAGAATTTTTGAAAACCACTGAACATGATGAAACAATGGAACAACCAGCTTTTGCTGGTAAGTAGAATAACATACCGGATATCCTCGCTTTTATAAATTGAGTTTAAAACTAAAAAAAAGTTGCCAGTTTAAGTGATTTTGATCGCACCAAGAATTTCGCTTATATGTGCATAACTCTGATCGCACTTATTCTCTTCTTCAACCATTTGCTGTGATAGGTGCATACGGTGTGTTACAATTAGTAGAGTCGGCTTATATGCAAATTTTCATGAATTCACCATTTTAGATCGTTTATAGGAAGTCTGCTTATATGTGAAGATTTGGTTTAAGAAACAAACAAATTCTTACATCTGTTTTAAATTCTTGTTGGGGAACAGATACTGAAATTGTCTTCTGAATTACACTTTTTTTGATTGAAAAGTAGAAATCTTACTTTACCTTTTTATGCATTTCCTTACCATTTTGTATACTTTTAGTCCGTCATTGAAATGTTCATCAAATTATTCAAAGTTAGTGATAAATTTTTTTTTTTTAGGAAATGATGAAACAGAGCAAGCAGATGATGTAAAATCTGAAATTAATGAAGAGAATTCGAAACGTGAATTGGAATCTGAAACTAATGTTGATAATGGTAACATCTTTAATTGTTCTTCCACTTTGATTTGGTATGCATTTTTGTGATAGCGGATTCGTTGAAGCCAAAGAACTTTGAGAAAACCTTTTTTACCTATTTGATTTAAGATGAGAGTAGTTTGATTTCTTGATGCTATGTTATTCAAGCAGATATTGTGGTTCCAATTCCTCTAAATGCTATTTTGTGCAATTTCAAAGATACCATATGTAATTGTATATTATTTTGTTAATTATTTATTCAAGCGGATATTGTGGTTCTGATTCATCTGAATGCTATTCTGTGCAATTTTGAAGATACCATATACAATTGTATATTATTGTGTTAATGCCTCCCGTATCGAAGATTTTTAGGCAGAATTCCTCTATATGTTTTCTTGATGCAATAGCAAAACTGTGATCCACCTTTTCATTTTCTTGATACATTTATATAAATTAAGTTAATACTGCATAAGAACTTCTTTTGATATGTTGGGTCCACCATTGCAAATTGTGCAACAATCAATATCACTATGCAGAATTTGTTTGCAAATGACAAATATTGAAATGAAAACAGAAGTACTTATGAGTATCACGATATTTAGTCTTTGTAGCTGAATACATGGTTTTAACTCCAAATCTATTTAACAGGGGCGAGTAACGATATTGTTGAAAACATGACAATGGAACCAACGACTACCTCATCTGACCAAGAACCTACAACTGAACCATCATCAGAGCCCACGACAAGTATGGTTGAAGATGAAATGCCTTCAGAGAGTTCCAAAGAAACACAGCCAGATGAAACCGAGCAACCAGATGGGACGGACCAACCATTTGTCATACTGAATCCTGCTAATGATGAAGGAATTTTTTCACAAAATGATGAAAACAAACCCCCTGATAACATTGCAACTGAAGAAACTACTCAAGTTGTGGCACCATTTGTAGTTCCAACTGATGAATCTCTTGTTAGTGCAGTAAATAATGAATCTGATATGGATGCCACCGATATTGATTTAGGCAAACAGTTGGTTGAAAAAAGCGAAGTTAGTGATGAACCTGATTCGGTTCAAAAAAATGAAAATTTCAATTCTGGTTCAGATAGCCCTATTATGGATAACACAACTCAGCTTTCTTCCCCTGTTCGAGAAAACACAGGCAGTGAGGAATCGTCAGATCATGAAAGTGATAATGATTCAGATGATGGTGGTGTCACTGTAACAATCTGAAAATGTGTTTCGTTTATTTTGAAGATATAGGAACATTATTAAATAAATTTTCTTCGGTAACTGGTTGATATCATTTGCGACCTTCTAAAGGTCTCATGAATTTCCTATCCCGACTCGTAAGTTTGAATTAAGCACCATATATATATTTGAAATCAAATAATCGTTTCTTCTCACTAAAACATTTGTGCCTTTGTGGAACTCTGTTCACAAATTACCGTTTTGAGTGACCATATATAAAACTTGATGATAATTGTTAATATTCTTCGGTTATGACTTATGTTCCTATAACTCATCTTTAATTGAATTTGTTCTTTATGTTGAACTCTCGGTAACTATTTGGCTTGAGATTGCAATAATGCATTGTTTGTGGCCATATTTGTGCTTTAACTTATGCATAGAGTTCGTACGGTATGTCTTCTTGACTGTCTATACCTAAAACTATCACAGACTGACATTGATTTTTCCTGATTCTGGTGGATTCTGGATTCTGGATTTTTCTTGCCTTGCTAGTTGCTGTAGTTTGTTTGAGCAAATAACCTTGGTCATGTCCACTCATGTTGATTAATTGTACTTGAATCTCGAAATTTCAACTAAAAATCAAAGTGTTTTGTTTCCTATGGTTTTTTTAAAATTAGATTCATGCTATCCCTTGCTTTCGAAAATTCCGGAGCGAACAGCAAATTCAGCACTGTGAGTGCCTATATTGTGGCACGAAAGAGTTCATTGTTTTTCACTTCTTTAGTGTTAATATTAAACATTTCGTCAGCACACTTTTTTTTCTGCAATTTTTTGAGTTTAAAGATAAAGATATTTCTTTTACTTGCTTCTTGGTATTGTTTGGTGGTTATTAGGGAATGTATATAAGTAGTATTATTACTCAACTCAAAGCAGGCTCCGTGGTTGCACCTGTGTTTGGAATCGCATGTCGTCGATTATGTCGCTGAAATATTCGGTATTTGTGATTTTCGTTAGATGGCTGGCAATAAAAGGTTTCCAGGAAATTTTCTTGTGCTGTTTCATTGTGTGGTGTGGGGCAGGGGAGTTTGCTCAGAGTGGCGAAAGAGGAAATGTAAAATAGCAGAGCTGCAGTCAGTTCCTATGACAAAAGTCATTTTGCTTATGCGGAAAAGTGAAATTTTAATTAGCCATCGAAGCGCTATAAGTTGGTATATTCGCATACCACATTCATGGGTTTCATTTTAAACGATATAATATTTTGCCAGATTTCGACATAACAGGCTAAACTATCGAAGTGCAAGAGCCTGTAACGGACATCAAGAATAGGGATCGCCCAACACTTGCCAATGTTTGGTTTTCAGGTTAACTTTCCAACGAGATTTTTGCCGTATGGGATTTCGTTGCAAATATTATTAAATTCATGCTTTCCAGTGTAGACGGCCGTTGTCCACATGGACGCGCGTTGTTTGTGGGGTTCAGTTGGTGCGGGTGTCAGACATTTTAGGCCAAGAGAGGTGTAATATTATTGGTTATCCATGACCAACATGTTAGGCGATAAAAGGAACTGGTCAGGGAACCAATAGCGCAAAGAGACGAACAAAACCCGGGAATGTCATGAAGTGTTGAAATATTCTGATATTAGCTGCAAACATACAGACATAACAGCCTAACGTTAAATTTTAACAAATTAGTAAGCTAATGCCGAAAACAAAGCTCTGAAGGTTTGCTTCGAAACTGGAACAAGTGAATGTTGCAAGCAAAAAAATTTGAATGCAGTTTCTAAAATTGGTTATATTCAATCAATATTGTATATAGTAAATTTTGAAATTTTTATTTAAAAATTTATTAACAGTTAATATTCTAAAAAATATAGATATTCTATATTTCACCTTAAAAATCAAAGCAACACTTGCCTTTTTTGTCTAAATTATGTTTCATAAACTAATAGTACAGTTATTTTTGCAAATATTTTGTGTTTCAGTATATTTTGGAAAATTCAATAGCGGGTTAGCATTATACAGTTATAAGAATAGAGCTGCAAGGGACAGGATTATGCCTAAATCAGCATTGTTCGTTTGTCTTGGCAATATTTGTAGATCGCCGATAGCAGAAGCAACATTCAAACAACTTGTGACTGAGAAAGGGCAGGCGAGTGATTGGATTGTGGACAGCGCTGCAACATCAACATATCAAATTGGTGAACCCCCAGATTCAAGAGGACAGTCGTGCATGAGAACGCATAATATTTTTCGCCATGTTGAAAAACACAGGGGTCGACAAATAACAAAAGATGACTATCAAAAGTTTGATTATATTTTTGGAATGGATGATAATAATATGAGTGATTTAAAGCAAATGGCACCAAAAGGTACTTGTAAAGAAAAGCTCCTTAAACTTGGAGATTATGACACTGATAAAACCTATGGGACCACTATACAGGATCCATATTATTCAGGCAATGATAAAGAATTTGAAAGAGTATACCAACAAGTCAAAAGGTGTTGTTTAGGATTTTTGGACTCTATTTGACATGAGCATGAAAAGAATGGCACAGTAATAAACTCTGTGGCAATACCTGTGGGCTAAACTGATGTTATGCCTCCAGACTTAAATAATTCTCAAAGTCCAAATCTATAAACAATATTTCAATTCACAACATCTTCCAACAGAATAATTGTTGTTTAATTTTTTACATAGATGGATCTGTTTCATATATTTTGCGTTTTATAAAGGCATATTGACAAACTATTGTAATGCCGAACTATTTGCGTCGAAAAGTACTCTTCTTATCTTGCATCTGTGACTAGTTTTCGTGATTTCATATTTATAAATAAAAGTCGCTGAACCCAAATGGTGATCATAATTTCATGAACACTCTCATTGCAAAAAACACAGTAGAAAGGAAGAGTTTCCTTGTACCTTCTTTAATTTATAACTTGTTGCCATAATATTTATAAGATTATAGCCATTCAGAAATGTATATATGTGAACCGGGATATGGATTTGTATAGTTCCACTCCAGATTTTGACCATGGCTGGCTTTCTATTACATCTTCAATAATAACACAATTTGGCATAAGTTGAAAATAAGATATCAACTTCTGATACAAATTATTCTTTCACTCTGGCTACTAGAACACTAATAAAATTGATTGAAATTAAGTTTTGTATTGATATGTTATTGGGCATAAAGTGAACCAATGAACTATTTTGCAGAATTCTTTTCACCTCAATTTTTTATGCTTATGGTATTGCAATGTGACATTCTATCAGGTTAGTCTGCCGATCATTTGAATCCGACATGGTGCTCAGCTGATACTTTATCAGTACTGGTGTGAATTGCTACAGAAAATCCCGGATTTTAAGCTTCATATTAGTGGTTAGATCTTTGTGTCCATATATTAGATCATGCTCTCTTGTTCAGCTAAAAATCCTCCATTATAATTTTTCAGTTTCAGAATGTATGATAAGATATCGAAAATTTTGCGATCATCGCCAAGGGTAAATTTAAAGAATGTGACACCAAATCCTTATTCTGAGAAGCGAAGCCCAAATAAAAGAGGGCAGCATGCAAGAAATCGTAACAAACATAGACCTATTATGAAATATCCACTCGGCTATGAGAAAGGCAAACTCCCTTTTCATCTTCGAATACCTACATATGGTTACAATAAAGATGCCAATCTCAAAAGGGATTATCAGCCCTTGACGTTATGGACATTACAAAGGATGATTGATCTGGGCAGAATTGATCCATCAGAGCCAATTGACATTACAACATTAGTAAATTCTCGTGCTCTGAAAATGGATTTAAACGAAACTTTGCATGGAGTATTTCTTGTCGAACAAGGGGCTGATATATTTGAAGCGAAAGTTAATATCGAAGTTCAAATTGCAAATGAAATCTCGATTTCTGCTGTAGAACGTGTCGGTGGCACAATAACAACAGGTTTTTATGATCCGAAAAGTGTTTCGGCACTTTGCAGGCCAGTAGAATATTTTCTACAGGGTAATCCTATTCATAAAAGACTTTTGCCGCCTCGAGAGTTGGTGACTTACTATTGTGACCCCAATATGAGAGGATATTTGAGCGACCCAGCAAAACTCCAGGAAGCAAGAATTGAACTTGCTAACAAATTTGGATATCAACTTCCTGATATTACTAAAGACGAAAATTATAAAATGTTAATGATGAGAAAGGATCCAAGACAAGTTTTCTTTGGACTTTCTCCTGGATGGATTGTCAATCTTGCAGACAAAGTTGTTATTAAACCTACAGGGGAATTTATAGATGAATATTTCAGCAATTGAATTATATTTATGAGATGGCTCAACTACAGCCTCTAGCCAGTTCCCGATACATGAACATGGCTGGTGAAGCAAGGCATTCACAGTTCATCAAGCCCACCGCCAATTTGCTATATATGTGGTGACTCATTATAGTCACAAAAGTTTATTATAAGGGCATGAACAATATTTTGCTAAATTGCCTACATGTTTCCCAGTTTAATTTTTGTATTTGATATTACATTATTGATAAAGCTACAATATTTTACTCTTCTGAACTAACGACATAAAATTTTTGGTATTATATTGATCAGATAAAATCAATAAAATTTAGATAGGTATTGAATTTGAACTGACATCATAATTCATAGCCATACAAGTTTACTAGGAACTGATAGTCTTGTTTATTGCTTCAGCGTACTGGATATTACATGAAGATTGAATCAAAAATTTTTTGTTTTGTACCTAAAAGATAGTTGTGTAATTAGGTTCACAATACATTTTTAAAATTTTCATCCTTAATTTATGAAATATGTTTATTTCTGTTTTCTAGATACATTTTTTATAATTATTCAGAAAGATGAAAGACAAAGATATCAGTTTGTTGAAGAAAAAGAAACGCAAAAATCCTGTTGAACCTGGTGACAAAGATAGAAGAAACAATGATAATACTGAGCACTTGAAAACTGCTTCCGAAAAATCTAAAAAGCACAAGAAAAAAGGGAAATTGCCATCAGAAAATGAGCAATTAAGCGAAGTACCAAATAAAAATTCTATGGAGACTGTTAAAGAAAGTAATATTAATCTTGATTCGAAAGTAGATGTCAAAAATGCTGCTTCAACTAATAAAAAATCTGGTAAAAAAAGAAAGGCAAACAAGAAAAATGATGATGATAAAACAAAGAAAAATGGTAAAAGAATGAAATTCAGTGACAAAAAAGAAATCTGGGCTGACAAAAAAGCTAAGAAGGTTTGTTGAAACTTCGTGAATTTCAAATTTCTAAGATGTACTCAAGTGTGTTCATTAAAAAGTGATAGATATGACTCTACAGTTCACAGTATAAATGGAAAATGTATTTGCCGTTAAATTTGACTCCGCAAACCAAACATGAAAGTTTAAATAATGTTTTTCCAAGAGTCTTTGATTCTCTCCAAATTCCTAACGAGTTCTTATCCTTGAAACCGATAATATATTTACAAAAACAATAATGGAATATATGTATATAAGATGCTGTAATTTATTTTAACTCCCATAAAGGCTCTCGAATCATTGCTAACAGAAGATTTGGATCGACCTGGAGATGTGGAAACAATTGACAAAGTAAGTATTTGTATAACAAGTAATAATTGAAATGTATAAGATGACGCTGGTAAGCGCGAATAACTTTACTCTGTTATTCAGGCAGATGAACAAGAAGAGACCACATTACCTAAGAAAGCCACATTACCTAAGAAAGCGAAGAAGCGTGGAAAAATTAATAAAGAGAACAGTGAAGAAAAAGAAGTCGATCCAGTTGATACTCTAAAATCTCAAAAGAAGGAAGAAGCTCTGTCCAATCTATTGGAATGGAAAAATGACAGGGAGAACTGGAAATTCCGAAAAGTCAGACAAATTTGGCTGGTAAAACACATGTATGATCAAGATGCGATAAATGATACAAACTTTAATTATCTTGTGGAATATTTGGAAGGATCAAAAGGTGGTGCCAGATCCAGACTTATAACAGATGCCCAATCTATTTATGACTCATTAACAGAAGATGATGATAATAATTCAACTGTTAAGCTAAAACGGGCTCGTCATATTTTACAAGCAATTGCAGAATAAAATGTTTGAATAACCTTTTGGGTATTATTTATGCAAGGTGATCTTGTAATACTGTTTAGGATGACCATATTCACGCAGTATATCCAAGTTTGCGTCAAGGTATTCCAGAGGTTGGAATTAACGATTGAAATTTGCAGCGTGAGGTTTTTTCAGGTCCTAGATATTGCATCTATTAGTTCATTCAAGCATTCTGTTAGTGTCATTATAAAGCTTAGACCCTCCCATCCTTAGCCAATATAACCACCTCTTTTTATTGAATGAAAGGGTAAGTGAACACCTTCATGCAAGGAATTTGAAATATGTATTGCAAGGTACTAAAATGCCAAGCTATAGGATGAATTAAATTGAAGCAATTTCAGTAAGGTATGATTATCAATACACTGTTTTCTCCTACCATCAATCAGTCTGTTATAAACCAGATTATACATTACAGTTTGAGCAAAAGTACAAGTGTGAATATGGCCATGATTGACCAAAATTACATGTGTGAGTATGCTGATGAAACAGGATATTATCATTTAATAGCTAGGCATGGATGGAACATAAAGCCATAATAATTAAAATAAATCTAAGAAACTTAAATGGCTGTTTCTGGTTCTTTTTTCTTAGTTGCCAATATAACTGCAGTAGGGATTAGATTCAATGATCGTAATGACATTTGCATCTCATCTTCGTTAAAGATTTTACGGGGATAAGAGGTTGATATATCTATAAACGGTCCAAGTTGATTATCAGAATTCATTGTGATGTACAAGCGTACAGCACTCAGTGGTTCATCAGCCCCAAAACTTTTAATTAGTTTGTCATTATTTGGCAACCGAATTTGGAGTTTTGCCTCATTATAGTTCTTGTGAACAACGGGAGGTTTTGTAGATGTGGAATCAGCAGTTTGTTGCTTTTTATTAGATTCTCTCTCTGCTTTTGTATTTTCTCGATCTCTGGCGATTTCATCTTTGATACGCTGACGTTCTTGTTTTTCAATTTGCTTTGGATCAACTTGAGCATGATGTTCAGACTCTTGTTTTATTTTTGCTTGTTTAGCCTTCATATTAACACGATCCTGAGCAATTTCATCCAAAACACGTTGACGTGCGAGTCTGTCTTCCCTCTTTTCTCGCTTTCTTTCTTCTGCAAGTTTTTGCGCTTCCCTCCATTCAATATCTGATTTAATTTTCACGAGATCTTGTCCCTGCTTTCGTCTTTGCTTCTCCCTTTCAACTTCTTTTTTTCTCTCTTCCTCTTGAATTTCAATTTTTCTTTGTTTTATTCTTTCTTCTGCTCGTCTCAACCGTTCTGCTTTTTCTTCATTTGTTAGTGTTGTGTTTTCGACTACTTCTCCTGCCTCTTGCTCTGGAACAACAACATCCATTTTTTCTTCTTCTGTTGCCATATCTTTCAATTATTTAAATTTCTACGATATTCTAAATAAATTAGTACCAGTATGTGTTATGTCTGCACGTAGGTGGCCATTGCGACTCATTTGCTTTGGTGCAACGAAGATAAATAAATCTTACAACAGCCCCGAGTGCAGATGTGCTCACATAATGTTACCGGTATAGGGCAGTACGTTCAAAGTGATAAACTAGCAACGAGTACAATACCGTGCTTGGTCCTTTATACGACCTAACGCTACTAATACACACTTACATAATAATCATAACCGCTGGCAAATGCGGTTGTGACTTATTTGTTTTGGCCCAACAAGACGAAATTGATTTTTGAATGACTTAAGTACAAGTATATTTTGATTCTCCCACAAAAAAAAAGATCATACACAAAACACAAACAATGAACACACGGATGATGGGGAATCTGGCAACACCTTTATAAAGGTTTAATACATGTAGATATACCGGTACATGCGCCAGTTTACCCACATTCAACACACAAATATATATTCAAAATAAAGACAATAACACGAATGGGTATCGTTCGGGCGTCAAACTTGTGTAACATAAACACTCGGTGGATCCCAATTAATAAATACCGGTACACTTTGATAGGATAGAATCAAGAATGCATGGGTATGGTATGTGTATCGCAACAGTGCTTTTCCCCACAAAAATATGAAATGAAAAACACTGTTGACGTGAAATGGTGATGGTGTAGTTCAATTTCATTGCAAAAATAACACAGTGACAAAGAATTGTTACTAAAAAAAACAAGCTCTGTAAATAGGTAGATTGAATGTTTCATAACAGTCTATGCACAAACATGGATTTGGGTATCAGGTTCTTTTGCCGTTGATTAGTTCAATTTCTGAATTTAAAATCATTGTATCCGTTCCAATGCTTCCAACATTAATATTTAATTTCTACGAACGGCTACCATTTCAACAGGTGCAGTGGTCCCGTCTTTTCTGCGCTCTGTTCCATCATCCACAACTAGATTCATAAAAGGATCGAAACCTCGCAAAACACCCGTAACAGATCATCCACCACCAATCTCTTATATATACATAAACTTCTCTAATTCTTTTGGATGAGCTTTGATTATGTTGATATCACGCGATACAAATAAAACAGTAAATACCGATACACACAGCGCGTAGCATTCTCAGTCAAACAGCATTGATTAGTCTTTCATTTAACATAGCAACAAAAACACGTACGACCGAGACGGCCAAGTGCAGTTTTAAGTATTCTGTGGCGTCTGCAGCTGCCACAAAACCATGGCGGTATTTCCATACCATGGCCGCTACGGCCAAACCTATGGCGACTGACTTTTTAGCCGCTACAAACCAATGACCAGCTGCCGTTTTAAGTATTCTGTGGCATCTGAAGCTGCCACAAAACCATGGCGGTATTTCCATACCATGGCCGCTATGGCCAAACCTATGGCAACTGACTTTTTAGCCGCCACAAACCAATGACCAGCTGCCGTTACCGCGGCAGCAAATTGAAAACCAATGGCAGGTAAAATTTTGCTGCCGTAACTACGGCAGATGGGCCGTAAAGACAGGGCTGCCCCTTATGGTGACAAATATTGGGTGTGTTGGAACGTTTTTCTTATGACTACAGTTTCACTACAGTACATTAATTTGTGAATATACCGTTAATACTGATAATTGAATAGCGCTATAAAACCATAGTCATTATTTCATTCAATAAAACAAAGTTACCCAAATAAGGGGTAGCTTGTCTGACCTGCTTTCCCACTTTTTTTCGTTTTGATCATTTTATATTTTGCAATATAATTTCAATTTGTGCAAAATCCTATTATTTAAAAGAATGCTTCCATAATTAAGAATAGTAAATTCATGTAAATATTGTACATAGTATAAATCGTGAGAGACATTGAAATATTGACACGAACCTGTTATTTTTATGCTTATTTAATATAATTGGGTGGCAACTGACTCTGATGACCCCCAAAGGTCGTATCGTTGCCCCCCAGTCATATACCGAAAACTATTTTTTTGTTTATGTGTGCATAAATTGTTTTCTTGGTTTGACAAATGAAATAAACTCTCTCTCTCTCTCTCTCTCTGATAAAACCATGGTAAGAGCTGCCGCGGTTCGTTCGTGGCAGGAGCTGCCATGAAGTGGTAAGAACTGCGCCTCCAGACGGCAGTCGGGCTGAAGCCGAGTCAGAATCGGAAAAATATATAACTCCCTACTCCGGACCATTAAAAAAATGTATTATCAATTACCAATAAAATGTTTTTACAATATATTCAGAAAAACAATAACGGAAAACTTTTTTGTCAAATATTTAGGACAAGATTTAGATATTTATCCCGGAAGACTCTTATTTCGATCAAGCTTGTTTCGATTGCGACCTAACCGCGCTAACAACGATAACATTGTATTTCGTATGCAGTGCCATAGACATCTTATACTCTTAATAACAATTCTAAAACATTCCATGTGACCGCGAGCAGTCGAGATACTTGGTAGCATGGTGACGAAATACGGCCCTTGCGTGGTGTCAGTTTAGCGGTGACGAAATACGGTCGCTGCGAAGAAACCTTAAAGCTTTGATTTCCGCATGTCAGAATAGTAGCATCACGTTTCGAACTGAACCTATATAATACCAAACATAGCGTATATTCCGGTAATTTTATGAAAAAAATATATGTATCATAGTTAAAAGTGGTTTTGTATTTGAACTTAATTTACCACAATTAGTAGGGTGCCGGTACGCAATCAGTGACAGCGAGTTGGATGAAATCAACGATCTCTAAAATTTGAAAATAAAATTCGCCGAGTATTTATACGATAGCCTATGTTTATTGTAGCAATTGAGCCTCTGTTAATTACTATCAACCTAAATAAATATGTGACGGATATACCGGTAGTGACGCCAGGAAATATAGAATTAAATAGGAATTATTCAGGAAATCGGCGATGACAAACCTTGAAAAGGTATTGGAAGTTATGATTCATTAAATGGTGCATGCATCTGGTACTTTATTGCATGAATGAGGAACCGATCGCGGACCAAAATTTCGGAAAAGAGCACGCCGTATTGTTAAAACGGTCAACGCTCAAAGGAACAATCTTCTCTCGGAACCTCGTGCCCTAGATGTAAAATTCGAAAACGGAGACACAGTTCGGAGGCCAATGTTATGAAAAAAATCTGCATATTTATTACCGTGTAATACAATGTTGCCTGAAATACGTTTTTGCTCGTCGGGAGCTTTAAAACAAGATATGAAAAACGAATATATAATAGAATATTTTACAGTTAGTTAAATTTGTTTTGGGAAAATTTCCATGTCCTCAAATAGTGTCAAACAATTTTTTTTTCCATTTCTAATATTTTATGTTACTTAATTATGCATAGAAATGACATGAAAAAACATGTTTTATGTCATCGTGCAAAGTGATTGTGATTTAATTTAAATTTGACGTACAACTGGGATCCAAGGGCGGATTGAGCCCGTTTGGTGCCCCCTCATGTGTAATTTAATTATAAAAACAATAAACCACATAAGTGTATTATATATTAAAAATAATCACAACCAACAGTAAATAAAACAACATTTAGGTTTTTTAACTGCTATATATAGCCGATATGATATATCGGCAAACATGCAATATCGGTTGAGCTCTAATCCTGAGGGAGTGTGACAATAAAGATTCATGTCTCGAGTCTCAACGTGAATCAAAATACCAAAGGATACAAGTCACAACTGCAGTTTAAAATTTGACCGGTACCTAGTAGCCTACCATAGAGGTTCAAGGTTGCTAGGTTGAAGGATCGCATGAACTTTTGAGGAGGTCTCGCGGGCCGCAAGTCGGAGAAAACCCAAAAGTGATCGAAATATCGCGAGTTTACTTACTTTAAATTTAATAAACATCGAGAGTTCACCGTTCTAATCAGACTATTATTATGTTGCATGGGTGGCGTTCTTTTAAAGAAGATATATAAAACCTCCAGTTATTTTAAAGTTAATTCCCGAGAATTACCGTTGTATTTTGCGCATCTCGCGTTTAATGTCGCTTCAAATTATATTCTTACGTGACAGATATTAACTTGAAATCAAACCAGACACTGTGTGATGGGCAAGAAAATACGTTTCCGCCGTGTTTTTCTTATGTCACCTTTTTTGCGACACTCATTTTATTACGAATTGTTACATTGAGTAATTTAAAAACTTGCAGCTTGAGCAAGCTTAGTGCCATCGTCAAATACCAATCAAGTCCGTCTAAATAGTGCATGATTGCCACCAGGTAAACTCATGTTGATAATAAATGAAGCACAACCGGTCGAATTTCTATACAGAAAAACTTCATCAGGGCATGATATGGAAAGGACACAAGTGGATATATATAGTGCAAGAAAAAATTATCATGGCGTCAACTCTAATCTAAAAGGATGATGATAAGATAATATGTATAAATAAACATGTATAAATGTTTTAACTTGCGCTAGTTATTTATACATATTATCTTATCATCTTACTTTTAGATTAGAGTTGACGTCATGATAATTTTTTCATATATTTTTTCTTGCTTTATATATATCCACTTTCCATATCATGCCATGATGAAGTTTTTCTGTATAGAAATTCGAAACGTCCGCAAATTACATCGTTTTGCTAACACCGATTGTGCTTCATTTATTATCAACACAAGTCCGTCTAAGTTGGTATTTCGGGACCTAGCAAAAACAAAACTGGATTGCGCGGCGTTAAGTCGGCTCTGCGTTTCGTCACTACCGTCACATGGCCGATGCTTGAAAACAGACTCTACGATTTGAATGTGAGCTTTTGGAACCCCTGGACAGTACGGGCGGAACTCTAAAATGTCACAGAACCATCTTGAAAACCGCTGCTCGTTTTAGGGAAATTTCAAGCCATATGCTCTATGACAACTTATTATTATTTAATTCTATTTGCATCTATCTACAAACTGATCAGGACCTTTCTACTTCTGACGTAGCAGAAAAATGGTTGGACCAAATTTAAAAAAACGGACAGATTTAAAATAATATAAAACTCAAATTTACAGAGCATTGATATCATGAAAAAGTAAAAAAATCACTGTTGGCATCATATGAAGGTTAAAAAAATGAAATATCGACCTAATCATTAATAGCGACAACAAACATCTGAATATTATATAGAATTTCTTCGGCACAAAGATATATATATATCTTTAAAAAACAAAGAAGCACAAAATAAATATATACGTTCGCTAATGCAAAGGTGTTTAACATTTTCAAGAAATATCTTTGTACGACTGCAAAGTGAAGGAATTACATTACTATATAGAGATTATATAGCAGTTGTTTTTGCACCTTTATATTTCGAAATTTAACATAAATCAACAAAGAAACAAAATTGCTGTAAACCATACACTGAGCTGGATGTTGCAATGAATTGAATGCAGCTCTGTGTATAAAGCCCACCCCAATCTCATAGCAATTTAAAAGAAAGAATAGACGAATAATTTTGCCTAGAAATAAAATTAAAAAATCACACGAATTAAATTTTACATATTATTAATGCTATCATAAAGTTTCAGAAAAAACTAATACATTTCAGGCCTTAGCCGATAATAAAGCATTTTAACGTTCACACATTATTTATCATGATTTATCTTCTTTTTTGGTATTTTTTTACGGTTATGCACATTCGAGCATTTAAACATGGCCTAACACGTGTGGCAAGATAGTTCATTACAAATTGATTTGGAATCACTGTTAAGGGTCTAAATCAGACGCGGGCAAACTACGCGGCATTAAAAAGTCAAACTTCATGAGACATACACATTTCAACTGAAGCAAGAATAGCAATTGCTATTCTTGCTTTAGTTGAAATATATATGTCCGAGGAAGTGGTTAGACGAAACGTTACAGAAATATATTTGTGTTAGTGTGCAGCAAGTCTATTGAATTAATTAGGATAGTTATCTTCACTCTTACCTCTTGCTACAGCAAAAATATAATATTATCTATATTCTCTCTCTCTCGTTGATATCTTTTAACTTGTATAAATATAACTCCAACCACCACTTCTACGTGTTACCCTGGGCCTGGGCTATTAGTCGCGTCCACAAAAGCTTCGCAGGGTAAAGTCAAAGCGTATAAGTTACTGGTCAGTTACCGGATCACAGGTAGTCTAGTCCTTTTGGGATAGAATTGGATTTACATAGGCCTATTTATTTGGGGGAGAGGAGAACGATAAGACGGCTTAACCATACAGCCATATGGCGAACCACGGCCTCTCGTCCAGTTACAATTCCATGTCCAAATGCCGGATTGGGATTAGTTAGTTATTTGTTATTCTGTTATTGGAAGCATGGACTTGATGGTGGAGGAAGCCGTAAGTTACCAATATACGTTATGGTCCGTCTTACGTGAACCACCCTCTTGATCATACTTCTTAGCAAGGGTGCTTTCTCTTACTGTCTTAGCAAATACTTAAATACAGAAATGTTGTCTTCTTACGATTGGACAGGTACGGTACCGTACCGGTACAGAAGTGTGGTAACTGGTAAGCCGAATTACCTGCATATAGACTAACTGTATAATGACGTATAGCCTAGACGCTTAAATTACTGCATTAAGGTTGTAGCTAATAGATCCCATGGATGTACAAATCATTGTGTTCTAGATGTAACGTTAGACAATGATATGTCTTGAACTTCGAATTAACTTTCTACGACCAGGGGTTAAAGCCATATAAACCACCAGTGTGCGACCACGGATTTCAAGCCTTGAACATCGTTTCTGCTGCGTCGAGACTAGGGCATACGCAGCCATGCGTGAAAAAATGGGCTTCTAATTTCATTTCTGACCGTCATATATTTTAAGAACACGATTATTTCAAACAAAATTCTTCATATTATAAACAAAGCACCGCATCACAGCAATCAAACAGACAAAAACACGATGGTCGCAAATTAGTTGACAAAGATATTTTTGACGTATTGGAAATGCGCACCCCCCTACTCCCCCTCCTTTGAAGGTAGAAACGCGAAACTTTAAAGATGGTTAAAAGAAACACAACTCTACCCACCTGCCAAGTTTCATCTCTTTATCTTTTATATTTGTATGGATTTTCAAGCTTTTTTGAAGGAACAATGGGTAGTTGGCGACATGGTAAAATGTTCCGTTTTTATTCTTCGGTCAGATTTTCGGATATACAGATATACCAAACCCGGTTTGGTGCTACTGTATGGATGTAATGGTAGGTACAGAGGTATGAGATGTTTAGATCTACTTTCAAACTTAGATATCTCTTCCAGTCTTTTGACTTGCAGACTTGAGCATATTCCTTTCAGCATTTGAGTCTAACGTTCAGACGCATACATGCATAACTGGTCCGGTCAAATGTCACTAAAAGACCAGATAATTTTATAGCCTATTTTATAGTCTGTAAGTTACAGTAGCCTTTTACAGTTATTTCATTTTCTGATATATGCCTATTACAGTATTATATTTTGGTCTTGTCTGCTTTTAGTATATAATTCAGGAATTTCTGAGTTTATTGTATCTGCGCTTTTTTACAGTATAGTACAGTCGTATAGCTTATACAAATAAAATAAATTATCTGCATGCGTAGTATTGTTTATTACATGAGAAGAGTAATTGGAGTCGATTGTGGTACAACTACATACAAATCTTTCATAAAACCGACAATACATACATTACAAAAAATGAAGCAAGACCTAAAGAATGAAGATACACCAGAGAATGCTACATTATGGAAGAAATATACTCGCATTATGGGAGTTGTGGCACTATATTGGACAATCAGTATCAGTTTAGTATTTCTGAATAAATATTTATTGAAAAGTGACAGTTTAAAATTGGATGCACCATTGTTTGTTACCTTTTACCAATGTGTCATCACTGTTTTATTATGTTTGGTATGCAGTGCAGTATCGCAAAAGAAACCAAACTTACTAACTTTCCCATCTACACAATTTGATATGAAACTTTCGAGAGAGGTTTTGCCTCTGAGTATTGTTTTTGTGGGTATGATTACATTCAATAATCTTTGTTTGAGGAGCGTTGGGGTCGCTTTTTACACCATCGCAAGATCTCTTGTTACAATATTCAGTCTCATCTTTACCTATTTTATTCTTGGAAAGAAAACTTCATTACCAGCTTTGGCCACATGTGCAGTGATTATCTCCGGCTTTTGCTTGGGAGTAAATCAAGAAGGTGAAGTGGGAAGCTTGTCAGTACTTGGTACTGTATATGGTGTAATTGCAAGTTCGCTTGTTGCGTTGAATGCAATTTATATCAAAAAAATATTGCCAGTTGTGGATGAAGATATATGGAAACTGACTTACTACAATAATATCAACGCATGTGCCATATTTTTACCAATGATTATCATATTTGGCGAACTTAAAACTTTATTTGAGTTTGAAAATTTGTCATCGATGTCATTTTGGTTTTTTATGACTCTTTCTGGATTTTTCGGATTTATAATGGGCTTTGTTGTTGGATTGGAAGTAAAGGTCACGACCCCTGTCACTCATAACATCAGTGGCGTAGCAAAAGCTTGTCTTCAAACTGTCATTGCTGTTGTTTATCATGGGCAGACAAAAACAGCTTTATGGTGGATGTCTAATCTTTTAGTTCTTACTGGTACAGGAGCCTACTCTGGTGTGAAAAGCTGGGAAATGAAAGTTGCTCATGAAGAAGCAGAAAAGGCCAAACTCGCTAAAGAATTCGAAGAGAAAAAAACTTCGGATGTATGATTTAAATACCGAAAACATTCAATCATACTTAGTAACTGTTAGACTATTTTCGCTTTTGGTAGTATCAAGCCTTTTTATATGTCAATGGAGCATTGCCTAACAAGATTTACACTTCTCAGTAGAATGACTGATGATTGCTTTTATCAAGTTTTGAAGTTAAGTTTTGTTGTTATTTTACGTGGTTATGATATTGACAGTTTTTTTTAATTTTCTATTGTATGTATAGAATGAGTTCTGCACTTTGGGCAATAAACATAAAATATAGCATGATATATACCTACATTCTTATAGGTACCGGTATAATGTGTCATTTTGTTTATGTAATTTCTATTATTGTTAAAGTATATATGTGTATGTATATAAAGTAGAATGAATATTTAATGCATTGAGATACAAATTAAAAGTCTTAAGTTTGAAAGTCTTTAAAGTGAAAAGTCTTAAGTTTACAAAGCAGTAGCAAAATTAGTTTTTTCTTTCAACATATTTGGAAAATAATAAATTTATGATAATTTTTTATAAATCTAATTTTGAATCAAAATTTTACAATTCTTGTTTTGAAATTTGTTGTCTTCAGATTTCATTTGCCATATGTCATTCTAATAATAATGAAGGTACAAACAAAATCATGCTATATGTTTGTTGTTTTAAATTCAAATTTGGCACAGAATTAGTGGCTTGTAGCTGCATGTTTATGAGACGATTATAATACGCTTTCATCTTATATAATGTTTTCATACACTTTTAGTAGGTTGAAGCAACAATTTGGCTATTACTTTGGTAATGCATAATTTAAGGATTTAGAGTCTGTCTATAAACATTTTTTCTCGGTGGTTATGTTCATCAACGCAAGTGCGTTATCTACTTTTTGTTGAGGGATTGAATTCTGGGTTTCATCAGTCTACACAAAAGGACATGCGTGGATATGACTGCATGATGTAGATTGTAGATGAATCGAATATTTTAGTTTCCTTCCATTACACCATGATATGTATTCACTTCACACGTTTTTTTTTGTTTTTTTTTAACTTATATTCATGGAATCACCACTGATGAAACCAGCTAAAGCTGATGTTGATAGGTAATAATAACTTGGAATCTCTTTGGTTTTTGGTAGCTGTTATTGTAGTTTTGTAGTTGCTCATTCATATTGGTCCTTTATTTCTAAGTATATTCAATATTTAAGGCAGTGAATTTGTTATGCACTTCTATAGGCTCAAGTGCTGTTTTTTTACTTTCATGCAGATATCCATACGTATACGGAGGTTTCATTTTTTAGGGGTTATAACACATTAGTTTAAACTTGCATTGTCATAATGTAGTGCAATGGTGCTGAAAACGTATATCACAGAAATGGACATTTTTGAAAATATATATTAAGTTTTACCAGCAATAAAATTCACATGGGAAGTAGTTACCTGTAATTATTTATCTGTTGGGCCTTTGTCTATTAGGGTTATTGGCACAGCACAGCAAGTTATACCTTTTCTGTAGTTGGATGATTCGTTAAATATACAAATTTTCATTTTGCACAAATAAAAAGTAGTGGCTAAAAATTTGAATAAAATCTCGTTTTGTCTGCGGAGGAAGAGGAGCTGTGGTGCAAAGGTGAAATAGTGGTATGTATAAATAGGTGACCGTACATTTGAACCCATGTGTATATTCGCGGGTTCAATCTATATGCGGGTGCTAAACCCATGGGTTAGGGTTAGTATGGGTTCAAATATCCGTAAAACAACAAAAATTTCCATAGGTGCAATAGTATGCCGGTGCAATCGTCGTGAGTTCAAATGTAATGAAACCGTAAAAATATAACGCCTTGCAACTCTGAAACAATATGTTTCGAAATAGTGCGCATATAAATAAGTAATGGAAATTTAGTGAAATAGAACTTGCATTGAGATTTTCAAATGGGCCTCGGCGAAATGTAAATTTGTATAAGCCATTTTTATGTATTTCGGAAATACCATGCTACGGAAATGTCATTTCTCCTCGCCAACGGAATGGAGCCCCAGGGCATTCTCGTCTGATGTGTTTTAGAAGGCGTGACGCTTGATTACTCAAACTATCGATGACTCGATGGTCAAACCACTAATTATAAACCGGTCTTCTGGCCCATTATGATGTCATAAAATCTTCTGACAAACTGAAGCGGCACATTTGTTCCCAGACGTCGATGCAAACCTTTGACGATAGTTGTTTTCCAAACCATTGCCCTCAGAAAAAATGCGTCTTGTACACTATTGGAAAACTGTCGATGTTTTCGCGTGTCAGTATTACAAACCGTTTTACTTTTTAATTCAAAATACCTAACCACCCGTCATGTATATACACACTAAATTGCAGGTTTTTCGGGATTAATTTTTGATAACTGCAAATAAACTAAAATTCCTCGGAGGACCAAATGACCGTGGACTCCTTTTATTCACACACAAAATAACCTGCAAACACACGAAACGAGATAATGTTTACAACCATGCTGGAAAATTTGTGTGTGAGTAAAAATGGTGGGTGAGTAGAGGATGCTAAATTTCAAATGTACCTCACATTTGACATCTTGCTTTTCGTCACTGTCAAGGCGTAGTTAACTCACAAAGACAAAATTATTCGCCTATCGCTCTTTACTCATATTCGATTTGGGGCAATTAAAAAGAAACGATGCAGTAGGCTACATGCTAGTGTTGGACGAACAATACAACATTAATTTTCTTCAGAATATCGTCATCCATGGGTTTTCTGTCCACCTTCATTTTATGGACGAATTGTGTCGAGCTTGGATGGTACCAACAGGAACAAGATGTGGTTGTTGATGGTGGTTTGCATGATTTGATTCAAGTAGCTAAATAACGTATTTACATCAACTACAATATTATCTATTTTCAATATTATCTCTACCTACAATATTAACTAAAATTGCATACAGCGCATTTTTGGGAAAAGTAAGAGTGAATATGAATGAGTCAATGAGTGGCAAAACGTTCTTCTCGTTAACAACACTCGATCGCTGGTAAAGGGAGAAGATATCGCCCACTACACAATGGGCTATAAAACTGTATTTTTATTGAAGTAATAACGTTCTAACGAAAAATACAACCACTGAAAATTTCTAAGCAATTGGGTTAAGTAGTCGAAGAGATTTTTCACAACAACAAAAATTCTACCAAAAAATTGATAGCAAAACGATCTGTATGCCCATAAACTAAATGCAGAAACAAGTCTCAGCCCTGTACACCGCAAGCCATTGCACGAAAAAAGTTGTCATCGTACGGCTTCAGTCAGTCGTACCGGTAGACAGTCAAAAAGTTATATCATTCAGAATTAACTATATTAAAAACGCATATATATTGATCAAGATTAGGTGAAAATCAAACAGGAAGTAGATTCTCAAAAATGTTGTTATGGATGCCAGTGTTCGTAGAATTTGAAAGAAGGCAGAGCCAATTTTTCCATCAGTTCATGTCCACGGGCGATATACACAATGTTTTTATTTGGTCTCCGTTGGCGCTATCACCAAAATCGCCATTGTCATTGCGACCCGCAACGACATCAAAAGTTACGCCTGGCGAGTATGACACGCACTGATATTTTTTCATATTAGGCCAATGCCTTGTCGCTGATTTGACCGTATTACCTACCTATTAGCCCCCTCGTTGAGTATACCCACACAAAAAACTTTTCAAGTTTTATATCGTTTTATTCGAAACCTTCAGAAGCCATTTAAACGAAATCGCCGAGATTCTTAGCAAGGCACAACACGCTCGATATCAGTTGAAAAAATGTCAGACAGGGAATTTAAGGATGGGGTGAGAAATGAAAGACTTCAATAATTTGCCTTATAAGGGCAAATTCATAACATGAAAAGGACGCTATGAAGATTGCAAACTTTTGCAAATGGAGTAAGCGGAAAGCATGTAAAAAGTACAAAAAATCTCTGGGGTTAAAAGGTATAAATCATCAAAGCTAGATTTCAACCATACGTCCAACTTCGTCAAGAGAATTTGACTGAAGGACGCACTGTTACAAAATTGACACCAAGCCTTCTCCAATTGAGTAAGATCATGGGAACAATTGTAATTAAGACGAGCAAATATTAATGCTGAAATTAAAAAGGGAAAATGTTCAGTTCTAGTTAAACGAATAGACGTAAAAAAACAAATAACGAAGGAACAAAGACGCACCCTTGAGGTACACTGACAAACAATGGTAAAAAAGGCCCGACAGACAGAACACGGAACATGTAATCGTTGAACGAAAATAGCATAAAAACTTCACCAATTCACCTTGATCCAAGTACAAAATCACCAGGCAGGGCATGATTACAACAGCAAAACACCAAATCATACCGTATTATCCAAATAATTCGATTTAAAATCAGATATAGAAATTTCGCCACCAATTTTACAGAAAAAATCCCCAAATTAATAACACATATACGCCGAGTATGCATTGATAAGTGAGAGTATGTATAATGTCTGATACGCAAAATCATTAGTTACGGAATACTTTGTATTGTTCATCTGGGTATATATATGTTTGTACACTAGAGATTGAAGTTCAAAATAGTTATAAGAAAATCGAGTTACATTGCAAATTGTCAGGAAAAAGAGAATCGTCATTGATTAATCGTGTACGACCACACAAAAACAAAACTGCTGCATAAAAACTCTGCTTTGTCCAACTTATTGTTAATACACAGATTGATACTAGGTATTCAGCTAGGTCAAGGACAAAAAGATGGGAACGTTATGGGAGATTTACCGCATGTCATGCCATTCTCGATTCTGTAATTGATGAGCGTTGGACCAGATGCTTCGTACTCCAAGTGGATCACACTGAAACAAATGAACACATTAAATTGATATATTCAACAATATCCAAAAAGCATATCTTGCATGTCGCAAAGAAATTAAACCAACCTCATCAGTATTCCTGTTTTCATCCATGGTGACAGCATTGGACACAGACCAAATCGAATGAGTAGTCATGTTGGTATTTGTCGTTGGGGACGGAATGTCACCCCAGATATCACCAGGTCGGGTATTCAAACCAGGTGTAGTTGGTGTCCCAGGAGGAGCATCATAAGTAGAGTAGGCCTGCTGTGTAGATTGATGTGGACTACTAGAGTTGCTCCATTGTCGATGTCTTACAGAAAGACTGGTTGGTGGAGATATATTGTTATCTCTTGATACTTGGGGCGCAGGTGTGCTATACAGGCTGGTGTTATTTCCAAATGGAGAAACCCATGTTTGTTGTGGAAGATTCTGGTGAGTTGGTGCATTCACCATCAGATCTGAATAAGGAAAAATAACATGGTGATTACATATGCTGTAAAACCCGAAAAATTGGTAGAAATTAATATAATTTTTGAGTAAATTGGAAGTTGATATGATATGAGTTAAACCGAAAATCAACATACTTTCAACAAGATTGAACTGAGATGTTCCGAAAGCAGAATAACTTGATGTGTTAGTTGGAGACTGGTATGACCACTGCAAGTTGGCGGCATCCTGTGCGCCTGGACCTGGTTGCAACAATAGAAAAAAATTAATAATGGGTGAGGGTATACCATGCTTTCACAAGTAACAAATTCAAGTTTTAAAAAAGCCCAACAATCTCGGCCTTTTTGATCACTGTGGAATGGTAGAAATTTTTGCTATATGTAATAGGATTATATATTTCCTACATAAGATACATGAATAGGAAAAATGGACACCCAGGTAACCAAATTCTAAAGTGAAACTGTGTAACAAAAACAAACAAAGCATAAAAATATTATGAGCCCATTTGAATTTTGCTTTAATCATTGTTTTTAGCTTCATGAAGTCTTAAGTAAAAAAAAAAAAGAAGAGGGAGAATGATAGTATACCTTGCTTTTGCTGAGCCTTGGTTCCGAAGAGATTGGTAAACATGGACGGAGAAGATAATGTACGAGCTGGGGGGTTATAAGGAAGCTGAGATTGAGGAGAAGTACGAGCTAATGATGGATCCTTTTTCGACGAATGAGTGGGTGAGATGTTAGGTGGGTCCATACCGACAGGTGGATAAGGACTACGCTTTCTAAGTTGTGGTTTTGTATTGCCATAGGATTCACTCACACTACGAGACAGCTTCTTAGTTGGAGTGGAGTGAGATGCAGGTCCTGTAACGAATTATTAGGAATTAGACGAGGGTTTATAGAAAGAAAGCGTATATCTGTGTGAACCTAATTGAGTAGGCTACTAACAGATGACTTACATTTGAGTAATGTAACTTGTACCCAAAAGTAACAAATTAAAATAATAAAATAACCAGAGAGATGAAGAAATAAAAGAATAAATCTACAAAACTTGATTGAACACATACCAGAACTTTGTTGTTTTGATGTATTGCCTTCATTACTTGAAGCAGTGGAAAGAACACTGGAATAAGAGGAACTCCTGCTACTGCTCGACAAATGACCTGGAGAAGTCGTACCCTTGAAACAAAGTAAACAATTATTTGCGAACTGTAAAAAGCCATTATCTGATAGACAGGAACACCATTTCTGAATGCTTATGTGATGGATGATTGCTGCAAATTAGCAATTAACTATCCAGTCATGTACCATCAATGCATTTTAATAATAAGTTTTTATACCTTATTTCTTTTTCTATCTTTTCCACGTTTCTTGTCATCCATCATAAAACCAGCTTCCTCTGATTGTTTAGCAATTTGTCTCATATCTTCATCTACATCTAAAATCAATCATATTTAATAGTCACTCCCCGGGAATTAAAAAAGATAATACAGGCAAAGCCATAAAAGTTCATCTGGTAGCTATGCATCCTGACGACGGTCAGTCCCACAATATAAACTTCCATCTAATATCTTGTTTAGTAACAGTCGTGTTAGCAATAAAGAAAATGTTTTCCAGTTCAAACCAAATAAATTGAGACAAACAGAAAATGCAAGCCGGTAGGCACCCAGGATCTCCGCTGATACATGGAGCGGCCCGCACTTAAGTAAAGCATTACTAATTTATACACGCAACATTGCACTTATATTATGATAGCATACTATATAACGACAGTGACCGGGGATACCGAAATTGCCAGTTCATTTTGAGTGCTGCCTGGCTGGTAAGTACCCTTGAGTGAGCAGTATACTACGGCTAATAATAAATAATTTTTGCTAAAATTCCTAAGGCTTCCCGGATAATGGATTGATATGACGAAAAATGGCTTGTTCGAAAAAGGATTTACTTCTGAGTGGGGTAGCGATCTTCGAATTTTAATTTTTGAGGTAGTTTACAAGATAATGGGGCGTGTGTTTTTGCTGATGTCATGGAAATGAAACACCAATCCGGACTTTCAGTGAAACACACAATACTAGGGTGACAGCATAACCCACATGGGGAACTTCAACCAAGCTAAACACACAGAACGAATGAGAATAAGGGTCTCCTAGAGCTGATAACAAACCTCTTTGCTGTGAAGGAGTGTCCCATAATGCAGTACTTTCTCCGCTACTACTTTCTGATATTTCTTGGGATGATGATGAGCGTGATGACTCGAGTGGAGAGGGTCTCTTGAATATAGTAACCTAGAATAGATTGATACATTCATGTAATCAGTTAAAATAACATTGATTGTGTAGTAAGTACAGATCTACACAATTGGCATAAGAAGGTTAAGGTCACTTTATAGGATGAGGTTTTCCACACCTCCAAAGTGTACGAGTAACCATAAGTAACAAACATGAACTCTTTATCAGAGAACGAGAAATTTTCCAGTTGGGTATTCCGTAGCCAAATCTGCTACACCCTGTGGAAGGGCATGGGTACTGAACCCACATTTTTTTAACCTGTGATGCCCATATATTATAGAAAGAAGAACTAGACAACTAAAAAACATAGCACTCAACATACCTTGGTAGGTTTGTTCTTCTGTTCAGCGATTGCAGAATTGTAACTGTAGGATCGTCGCTTTGGAACTCCTTTTACTGCTTCTTTGGAAGAGCTGAAATATCAAAAAAAAAGATTCAAAATAGCAACATTAAGTTGATTAACTTGTCATTTTGTTGGCCTGATCAGATTCTTGATATCAATAGGAGTCCTGGCCCAGTTTGATTTAAGAGTTCCCAAGGTTATGATAAATTAGTCAGGCTCACAAATTATTAAGTTGTTTCAAGCACTTTATAAATGTATTAGAACCAGGCCAGGAGAAGTTGATCTAAGATAGACGTTTGGTAAAGCACCGCAATATATACAACATTCTAACCATAGTTACCTTGAAACTTTTAGTTCTGGTGATTTTCGTTCTGGAGTCTTTATTTCAGTGATGGCTTCCGATGGTGATTCCAAAATTTTCTCTGTTTCCTTGACATTTTCAATGGGTGTTGAGATTGAACGTTGCTTTAATTGTCGTAATGCTTTTTTAGAAAGTTTCTTAGGCGGCGTGACAACAGGAATCTTTTCTTCTGTATCAGATGGAGTGGACGCCTGTATTTAAAGTCAAGATTTTTTATAAAGATTTTTTCACCATTGTTAAAAATTGTTCATTATAGCAAAAGTTTGGTGGGATGGCAAATGTTAGAAAAATTGTACCATATGACATTTGACTTAATATAGATAGGGCCCCATGAAACTCCTAAAAAATTTGAGAAAATAAAAGTAATAACCTTTCGAACACTTGAAATCAACCGTTTTATCAGTTGTAAAACAAGAACAACAACGACTTGCACTCGATACCTAATATCGATATTACCTTTTTAAACTTTGCAGCAGCTTCTTTCTCTTTTTCTTTAGCAAGAGCTTTAGCTTGTTTGCGAGTCAGTTTACGTGTTTTCTTTGCCCGAACTGAAAAAGTAAACACAAATTATGGAACTATTTTCATTGAGATTCTTCAGATTGATTGAACTTGTACAAATTGAATGTTATGTGAAATTCAAAACCTCATAGCTGCTTTCCTGATCGTATTGACTTGTCAGCAAATATTTAAAAGCAAAATTCTTACTTGGTTTATGTTCAGTCTTGACAGCGGCTTCTTTTTTCATTTCTGTTGCCTCATCAATTGATGCTTCTTTTGTTAATTTAGGTTCTGTCTCAGGTATTTCTAAGCTACCAGAACTGCTTGTACTTTCTCGTAATTTTTGACTCGAGAGAGAACGTGAACGGCGTGTTTCCAGGGCATTCTTTTTTGCATCAGCACGAGTTACAACTACTTCGTTTACAATTTTCTTTTCGGACGGATTGTTTTGTAAAGCGACACCTTTCGGAACATTCTTATGAGAATTTTCATTAACTTTTTCCGCCAAGTTAGGTTTTTGAGTTATAACCGCATTTGAAATTTTTTGTTTTTGGGGTTCAGGAACTTGCTTCGTTACCGGTCTTATCTCAGCAGTGGGTTTTGTACGTCTTTCAACTGTACTCAAGTTCTCGGGGGGCCTGAATTTTTTCATACCGTTGGAGTCGATTCTACATTTGTCATTCATAGTGGAAATATGTCGAGGTCTGACACCAGATTGGTTAAACTCCACAGGTTTCGACGAACTAACAGTAGGATGTATAACCTTTTCTGGAACTTTAGGGGTCAGCTTATTATAAGTAAAACTCGACAGAAATCTAGAAAATAAATGTCTTGAATACCAAGGAATATTTCGATTTTTTGAATTTGAAAGAGGCGGAAAATCAGGATGCGGATCAGTTTGTTGTGAGACATCTTGCTTTGGCTCGATACCGATACCAATTGATTTAAAACTTGGTGTTGACGAAGTTGATGTGGATTTCTTTGCATCCAATACTTCTGGACTTGAAATGGGTCTAAAAAATAAAACGCATGAATTTAGTTGAGATTGAAAACAGAGCAAAGTAGGGTACTTCTATTACAATCAATTCAAAATATCTATAATCGGCAGAAATCTTCTCGAGAACAATGTAACTCACTCAGTTTTTGGTGTACTCGGATAAACAGTGCTCATAAAATTATTCGCGATACTCCTCAAGTCGAATATCTTCCCAAAACCTTCTGGTGTGATACTACTTGTTGCACTGGATATTTTCTTCCTTCCTAATTTATGTTGTAGTTCATGAGCATACAAATGTACAAACGGTTCCCAGATATTTATAGCCTGGAAACAAATAATATATCATTATTGAATAGAATACATTTAGAAAATAGAATCGTCCAGTGTTGGAAGGAAACTTGATCCAGTATTTATCAAAAACTTTGAAAGAGACTCAGGTCATCTACACGAATAAACCTGAATTTGTGCTCAACGAACCGCCAGTGAGGTTTTAACTCAGTGAATGACTCGGCTCGAGAGTAAGATGACCCATGGTGCATGACTAAATACTGTTTGCTTATGACTCTGGATTTTTAAGCAATATTGGAATGGTCATCCAATTAACACAGCATTCCATTGGGTAAAATATCAGCTAACTATGAAAAGTTAGAACAATACCACCCTTTTTTGAATTTTAACACATTTTTCACAAAAATGATTCATCATACAGTAATATATAAAGACGATATATATTCAGCAGAATCTGAATGAGAAATTTTTTCTGTGTAATGAGATCAGTATTTGGATCAAATTTTACAATAAAAAAATCAGAAATTAAGATTCCAAAATAACATAATTTTAGGAAACGTCATCCTTGCTACCTGTTGAATCACAAAATGACTTGCAACCAGCATATCATAAAACCCATAAAGTTTACCTCTAAGTAACCCATCAGCATTATTCCAAGGCAGAGTACCAACATAACAGTAACTATAAAGTAGTATAAGGTTGGCTCCCAAGATGGCCTTGGAACAGCTTCCTGACATAATGGAAGCATGTAAGGTGGTAATGTAACGTTGAGGATGAAGATCATGTCATTTCCTTGTGCTGTTACAAGCTTCAACTTATGGAGAACTAGATAGCTGGTGAAGTTCGGTGTGTACCTGATGATCAAAAAGAGATAAACTTTATAAGTCTCTTCGAGAGATGAAGCTGAGACATAATCTCAAACAAAATCACAGCCTAGCTAAAGCCTAAATCAGTGGTTATCAAACGTTTTGGAGCGCCTCCCGCAAGGGGGGCGTAGATGATTTTTTGAGGGGGTGTGGAGTTGTTAAAAATATTTGCTAGAGTTGATTTTGTCCACCTTATTTTGACGCATTAAAAATGGAAATCCCGCATTCTTTCTAAATCTTGATGAAGCATTCGGAAACATGCTTGAAATTTTCATTTATTTCATTATTTACGTTCCATCCACATTTTCAACGTTTTTTGAATATGGCATACTTTCGCCTCATTATTCGTTATTTGTAGCTAGTTGGGCGCGACACTTGTGAAATTGTAAAAAGGGGGAGTGACTTGTTCGAGAACCACTGGCCTACAGCATTAGACTAACATTATGTTGGTATCACAGAATATATATTATCTGTTCATATCCATTGCTTTGTAGCTAAAAACACTACAGTTAAGTTTACCAAGGTTTGAAATGTGCATAAAATTAATCTTTTTAACATTCAATTTGAATTTGTTTATTTCCTAATTTAATTAAGCAATTGAATCATGATATACATGAGTACTTGGTGGGCGCATTTCTTAAATAATAATTAGAGAAAAAATATTCTCTAATGAGGTATATGATTTCCTGTTGTTTAAACACAAATATCTGGTTAAGTTGCTGGTGCACTACTTTACCTATACATATTGTGGTTTGTTCCCTAAGTAAGTAAATATAAGACATATGTACTCAAGGATAAGAAGTTAGCTGATGGTGAAGGGATTTTGATTACATCTGTCCCAAGATTAAACATACACACACTCACTCCGTTCTTCTAATACGTTCATGCCTATTATAAATATAAACAGACTTACGCAATTTCAATTTTCTTGCTCGTATTAGGTTGCAAAATAAATTGATCGCAATCTAAGACACGAAACCCGTATCCTTCACAAGGTGAACCACTAACTGTTATACTGGTGACATGTATCGGTAACATTCCTGTGTTATTAGCATGAAACCACTTTCTGACAGTGAAACTAGGATTGGATTTTTTCTCTAAATAGAAAATTAAACATACATTGAGGATGGATTTTATAGACAAAAAAACTGCACAGGGCTTAGCCCATCAGGTATTTGTGTCATCAATATTGAGTAGGCTCATGAAGTCAATTGATTTGATAAATATTGACTCCAAGTACAACTCTTGAACTTCGGGAACACAAGAGTTTGATAACAAAAAATTGACATATACAGGCCTCCTTTAAGTCTGTTGAGGAAGCTAATTAAATTTAATTCTTTTTGAGTTTGTCAAATTTTAATTTTGATTATCATCATTCTAAGCTTGATAAGCTCAGACTACAATCAATAAAAACATGTCATCTGGATAGAAAGCCCTGGTGGTATCTTGTATGACGCAATATGAAAACCTTATAACTATAGAATAATCTTACTTGTGCAATCTTTTAAAAGATCTTTCGTTAATTTAAACCTCAGAGTACTCGTCTGCAAGTTCGGTGATTTTCCTCCGAGTGTTAAATGTTCATACGCACCTCTACCATGCATCGGTAATGCATCAAGAATAGTGAGATTGTTTCTGAACAAGAATAAGCAAATGAATTATAAACATAGATCTATATTGGCACAAAAACTTTTATCAATACTCTTCCAATTGACAGACCACTTTACAATAAAATTTTAAGTGCTGTTCACAATTTTCCACTCTCATATTAATATACATCTGTGTATAAAGTTGATAAAAATGAATTGCGATACAAAGCCAAATCTAGGTAAAATGAATGTAACTGTCCCATTGCCTCACTGAGGTTCAAAATTACGAGCAGATGTCTCATTATTCATTCTTATTCGTCAAGGGATGATTAAGAAAAGATCTTCTGAATAATTGTATTAATCTATTCATATTACTACTTTTGAATATTTCGCAAATGCCTAAAATGGCAGTTTACTTAGAATTTAAAATATCTTTCTAAATTTTATATATCTCTAAATACAGTAATACTCCTCCTATTTTTTACATACTGTTACAACTGTCACTCTTCTATCATTTCCTTTTTTCTGTAGTACTTACCTTAATAAAATTACAGTGGATTTGGGATTGTCATCGTATGGTATAAATTCAACCTTCAGATTCACACGATCTCCAGGTTCAATGAATAAATTAACAACAGTGTGATTCAACTTTCCATTCAATGTATATTCCAACCAAACCATTTGTGATGTCATATCTTTAGACTGAACAAAAGTGAGAATTAGTAAGCCTTCGGAAGAATGTACAAAATCAATCGCATATTCATTCGAAGATCCATCTCCTTAAATATATTAATCATGTTCAATTTCATAAGGTATTGACACCTAAGATGTAAGATCTTAGAAAAGTTTTGTATAAGCAGGCACTCATAAATTGCATAGACCACTACTGTTATTAAGGTTGGCTTATAATACCTAACTTTCACATTCTGAGTGAAATAATTGGTTTACGTGAGCACCGACATAAACATTTCCAGCATAGCTAGATTGTATATGTTACATATCGACCGAAAAAAGAAATTACGGCTATTGTAAATCAACAAACAAAAAATTCAATAGATATATATTTGAAAGTGAAAATGTCCATCCCCATTATACGAGTGAGAAAGACAGCCTATACAAAGCACTGAAATTTGAAGATTTTAGATATTTCAATTTGAGTTTTGTAGCGTGGTAAGCCCCACATGTATAGTGTAGGCATTATTGGAAACTCCATAAACTACAAATAAAGCATTCATATCAGTCATACATACAATTTCTTAACACAAAGGAGTCCTTTTAAAGACCATTGTGCGTACCATTGTGTACAAAGTTTTTTTTTTTTGAATTTACTCATTTAAATTTACATTGAATGTCTGAATTTATGCGTACTCGCAACAATGAAAATGCAACATTGCAAAATTTGAAAAAAAAAATATTCACACAAAGTCGTTTTATTCATGATCATACTAACCACGTCTTGTCTCGGATCCATGAGATGAAAAAGAGTGCTATTATCCATTATAAACGAATCCTCTTTGATTTTATCTGACCAATCAAAAGCCGCTAAAGCTGCCTCTGGTTGAGGATATAATGACAGTGGTAAAACCTGAACTATCACAGGTGAATCCGCAGGATTTACAAGAGTTAATGTTGCAACCTAAACAAAAAAAATAATAAAAAATAAAAATACCAAAGTGAAAAAATTTCACCACATTTGTGAGAATTTGTATCATTTTTGCAAATTCATCACTGAAATAATTTTTAAATTCTGAGACAACTCGGAAGTAGCAAAATGAATTTTAGAAATCAGACTCTCGAAAAAGTATGCTTCCGGAATTCACACAATTGGTAATATTCTTAATTGTGGACCAACTAACTACCTAACTTAGGGTAAATTCAAATAGTGATTTATCCAATATCCCTATTTGACATTGAAATTAATCATCAAATACAAAAAACACTTACAGATTTTCTTCCGACATGAGTCAATGGAAAGTCAAAAGTTTCTTCCTCAAGAAGAGTAGGCCAGAATAAGCTAGCTTGAACTGGAACTTCCACATCCATAACGACATCAGCACTGAGAACCAAGGTAGTGTTGGGCCTAGAATATTTTTGAATAAAGTAATACAAACAAAAACAGAACAATGACTAAATCAATAATTATTGGCCTAGTGTGTGTAACAACAAAATATCTATAGCTTATTGGTGCAATTATCTAGTAGTTGGTACTACAGACCTCCAAATATATTGGAATCGAAGGTTAAAGAGACAAGTGCAAACAGCATTCCGACAGCCTCACCAAGAGAGTAATACGTTGGATATACTGGAAATATTCGCCTCTTTTAAAAAATATGGCAGTTCTGCGTGCACCAGTATGTGCTCGTCTGAAGATTAGTTCAGAGTAAAAAAAACACAAATTTAAAAACAATCAATCCAGTGAGGCTAAAGAATATTACTACTTAATGAAGAATATTGCATACCCAGTTAAACCTTTATTCTGCAAATTTTTCCATCTTTGTCTATATTCCTTATACCTCTTGGAGTCAAACTCAACGGAATCAGGTCCTAATGCTAATGTAGTCAACCAGTGATGACCAACTACAAAAGCAAAAAAAAATGATTATTAGTTAATCACATTACTAACGATGGTGATGAAACATTACAATACTATATGTAATAAAGTAAAAACGAAAATGAAACAACTTGATAATAAAATAAAATTGATCAACGAAATGAATACTTCATGGGATTTGCTTTACAAAGCATTGTTAAGAGTGAAGGTGGTAAGAATATGCCAAACAAAAAAAGATTCTGCTCTTACACATCATATTAGCCTTTTCTATGCATCAGTGTCTGCATATTCAGAAATTGATCAGAAAAAAAATGATAAAAAAAAAAATGTTACTTACTTGTAGTAGAAGTTGGTAAACCTACATAACATCGATCAGGTTTACAGCTTTGTCTTGCATCGAAATATACTTTTCCTATCTTTGATTTTTTATTTGGTTCGAAACTTAGTCCTTGATTCTTCAATTTCCTTTAAAGTGGGTTATTATTTTTTAGTAAGTCAACATCTCACAGAGTAGCAAAATATAGTCCAGAAAAATTAATTCATCAAAAATGATTATTTTTACTTAAAAATTTTAATACTTGAAATTAAGACACATTGTAAATCAGTAATGAGCTTTCACTAAAATTTTCAAGTGATGCGTTACTAAACCTTCACTCCAAACTTGGCTCCAGACTAGTATCTAGACTTAGAGTTAATTTTCGAACAAATGATATCCTTTTGTTCCCAATTACATACTTAGTTAATACCAACATGATAAGCTCTAACAACCATGACATGACATAATTAAATAATTGACAAATCTAAAATTGAAGATTGCATGATAAATTTCAAAGATTCAAGCCTTGAAAGATAGGACTTGATCATATTGTTTATGTATTCACTTTCGATCCTCATCAACCTGGCCATACAAAAAAATCTGATTCGAATGCAGAGCAAAAGACTGAAATATATATACTTACTTGTAATAAAATCTTTTATCCATTTGTTTCGAATGTACATACTCTAGTTTAGTAACTTGTGCAAATGTGTTGACGACGGATAATGTCTGATGTACAATCATGCCCTGAAATCATTAGGATCAGCATAGCATATTATGTAGTGATATTTTTGAATAATTTGATATCATTGGTGTCTGGTTGATATTGTTCAGATTTAATAGGCCGAACAACATGGGTCTAAGTGGATCACCTTGCTAAATTCTTGTTGTTAAGGTAATTGCTATGGTTTGACAAAAAAAAATCGCTCTTCTCCAAACCAATGAACTTTGAAATTTCTAATAATGAAAGACGGAAGCACTGGATAGATCGCTAGAAATCACTACAAAAAAACACAAATTCGCTTGTAATAGACTGCCTCACTAAAGCTTGTGTGCAATTCTTTTCAGTGAACTTTATGCTCTCAGCCTTTTTCAAGGGTTACCATACATTTATTTGTTTATTTAATTAGTTATTTGTTTAATTAATTGAAATAATAACCAAATGTTCAATTAAAATAATATACAAACCGGAAATGAAGGAGGAAATTTGATTCTTTCTGGTTTCACAGTGAGATTGCCAACGACGATGCGAGCTTTTACAGGAATATAAATAGTCTGAAAATAGAAGGAAAATGTATATATTTTAATTCTGCAAGTAAAGTATACTAATGGTTATTAACCCAAAAGACATTATGTGGTCAACTTCAGCAAAAGTGAACAAGAAACCATGTATAATTATTGCTTTAGTGAGTTGGCGTGTGCTATGTTAATTAATTAAAAATGATCTTATTTAAAACAGGTTCAAGTATCTGTAATACAAGAAAGTCTACATAACTTGACTACCTTATCATATATTCCATATAATCCCATATTTTCAATTCACAAAATTTCGAATAAAAATAAAATTATTTTAAAATAAACGAGATTCAGATATTGCCAAAGAAATCGGGAACAACAGCTTCATGCATTCAAAATGAAATCTATTGATCAATAAAGAAGGCCATTTTCTTTCCCAAATATTTAAATTTCTCACCTCAAATTTAGTTGTAAGACTCAACTGTCCTGAGATTTCTTCCTCCTTATCATCCGCAGAAAGTAAAACTTCAAAAACAGAACACGAGTTGCTGGGCAACCACAACTGAAAAAACAACCAAAAAACTTAACATCTGGAGCATAAGACACAAAAAAAAAGTAAACGATGATGAATGGTTAATATTGTACCATGTTAAAACTTGGGTAAAATAAAAAACTTACAGGTTTCAAAACACTTTGATCAGAAATATTCTTTCCTGAATCCTGTGTAATAGATTCCAAACGAATGTAAATATTCCGCAATGTGCTGTTAATTTTTTCAAGCAATATCTGAAAAACAGGTATGAACATATTATCGAGTAGTTCAAATATCTCGATCGCACTTTCACAAATCTTTTTCTCTAACGTTTAGTTGACCAAAGTAAAACTTTCTCAAACAAGCTGTTCACAACAATATATAATATATCGATATATATACCATAACTGGGTGTACGCAAACATGCCTAAAATAGATCGAAAGCTTGATAAATTCCAATTTTTTATACAAAACATATAATAACTTCAAATAATTTCTGAGAAATTGGCTGTATATGTATATGTGTTGGCTGTATATGCATATGTTCAGGTTGTATATGGATATGAGTCGGCTGTATGCATATTTTGGGTTGTATGTGGATATCATGTTACCATCCACACCCTGTCTATTTGATAGAGATACCCTGACCTACGGGAGTTCAGCACACTTCTCTACTGATGATCCCAATTTTATTTAAATCTTTCCAGTACAATATATTACCTTAGCAGGGTTATGATTGTATAAAGCAAATAAAATCACTCGTTTATCCATAGTTCCCATCACTCCGAAATCTATTGTCTTCTTCTCTTCACGAAGAACTTTATACTGTAAAAAAATTTAGAAATTTTTATCAGGATAAAAAATCCAAACCAAACTGACAAATCCAAAAAATTGGAATTAGACATTGATAAAAATTCAGTTTATCAAAGTAACTAGATAGATATTTTACCATAAAATTAGGGATTATCCCATCGTATTCCGAATCCTGCGAAATCTAACATTTTTATGGTAAAGATATCAACTTGTTTTTGCTTAGACAAAATTAGTTGCAAGATTTTTATACGAAGTTTTGTCAGTCTTTCACTTTGAACAAGATATCCAGCTTGCGATTGCAACATAGTCAAGTCCGGCATGACCGAGACCAAATCAGTTGGTGTCATAACGGATATCCAATACCATACCCCTAAATTAACACCCATACAAACTTGGCCCCCCCCCCCGAAGGTTGAAATAATCCACAATTCCAAAGGAATGAAAGTTTAATAATATTAATCGTTTACATTATGATTCCAACATACCGTAAGCAATCCTGAATACGTATGAAGCGGCAAACTAAATTTTGAAGCATTTGTTTGTAACATGAGGTAATATGTTGAACCAAATTCATTTTCATTTTCTTCCTCTTTCGATATTTCTTTCTTTTCCCCTGGATCATACTCGATAGAAAATGGTGTAACTTCAGATGACATAGGCAGGCTGATGGGACCATCAAAATTTAAAACCTATGAAAATAGAAGAAATTGTTTTATATGTTTTTATTATTTTGTAAAATAAAAAAATTTATGTGATCGATAATGTCCCACTTTCATGATTCCTCTAATCTTTTGTCGTACCCATTATAACCCAAAACCTACCACCAACTTTGGCGCTCCAGAAGTATGTGTACCAATATGGATGTAACTAATTTTTTTCACCCATTTTACATCAAGTTGTGTAAAGGGTCTGAAACATATGGGCATGGGGGATAGTCACTTGACTAACACAGACAGTCCCCGAACTCGTAATAGAACTAAAATAAGGAAAATCTGAATAAAATTATGGCTCAAGCCTAACCTGGTACACATACTACGGGAGTAACCCAACTACTTTTAGATTTGTATGCTTCATATCAATTGCAGCACAAAATTAGCAATAACGCATACAGATTAGCTAATATTAAACAAACAAAAATATGACAACCTTAGCATACAATATAGAAATTCTGAAAATCCCCAAATTTGAATGTTTCGGTATTTATAAAATATTCTCAAAATATAGAAATCCGAAATATATTATTTGAACCATAACTTCACTTCTTACAGGGTATTCTTAAATTCTTGGAAATGCATTTTCTGTAATTTTCGCGAGTCAGGTTCGAGTCCACACTGGTTTAGTTAGCTTTCGCCTGACGTACTTCTTCGATTGATAAATAAAAAGAAAAAACAGTTCGAACCTTGAAATGTTTTGATGCTCTTTCAGTAACTGAAACATTTTGAATCAAGACAGGAAATTGAAATAAGTTAGAGAATGATATGTTACGAGTAGTTTTATTCTCATCATAATGAAATAATACAGCATCTTCATCAAAACCCAAAGTCCTGGAAAAAACAGACAAGAAAAACATGAAAATTTTCGTCGTGAAATAGAATGCAAGATCTGGCACAAGCAGGATCGTGCCTGGAATTGGAGTTGCATGAATTTTCCTATTTAGGCAACAGAAGGTGAGGATTTCTTGTTTTCCTCGGCTACTTTATGGTCATTCGAGTTCTGCTAGAGCAGGGGTTCTCAAACGGGGCCTTTTGGCCCGTGTTCTTCCTAGTTTCATTGCTTGATAAAGTCATTTCACCGGGTGTTTTCACTTTGTTGAGCATAAATTGTTTGAACATAATGAGATTTGGAATCTATCATTCAAAATAACACTATAAATACCAATGGAAGGATAAAGAGGGGGGCCCACCATGAGTGCTAAAACCCTTCAATATGGGCCACAGCCCACAAGCCCTAATGATTGGAAACCACTGTGCTAGAGCAAGGTTTCTCAAACTGGGCCATCAACCTCCTAGGGGGCCACCAAGCAGTTATCTGAGGGCCACGATCAGTGGTCTTCACTAGACACCCTTCACGATGACTGTCTGTATTGATAGTGAATGCAATTTGATCCCTTCTTTCGATTGTAGTACATTAATTCTTTTGCTTGCCAGCTTCTTATTATCAAATGTGCCGCACTAAATGACTGAATGAATAACTTTTTTCGAACTCTATATCCCTGCAAGTATTTAATCATACATTGCTTTTATATACAACAAAATGATAGATGTACTGTCAAATAGACTTACCCATTTAATAAATTGGCAGTGAATGGGATGTGTACTGTTGAATAACTTTTTTCTTTAGTTTTAACAGTGAGTGTTCCCCTGTGATCAGCATCAGATCTTGCCAATAAAGCTGTAAAATGGGAACACTTACACAGATCCATACTGAGTTAGATAAATTAAAGGAAAAAATAAAGTACTTTGCAGAAAATGTTTTCTGAATGCGGCTCTCGCAAAAAAAAAACTTCACAAAACCCTTGGTTAAAACCATATAAAAAATTATATGAATGACCCGAGAAGCAACAATATTAAGGATTCCTGGGAGAATTCTTCAACAACTTGCCGCAAATTCAAGTCATAAAAGCACCAATTCAAATAGACAAGCAGTGAAAAACCTACCTGAAAATGTAATATTTGCTACAAGAGTAAACACTGCATCAGATTTTTTCAGCTTTATTGGTTTGAATTGGATGGAGATGGCGGGATTCGAACCTGTCACTGTGATATTACTGATTAAAACTTCATGGTCTCCAGAATTAAGTAAAAACAGTGGAAGAGTTTTTGGATCATCTGAAAACAAAGAGTGTCATGTCAAAAAGTATTTCATTCAAAATTTTATAAATGCATACAGACAGTTGCAGTTTATTGTATGTAATAAGAAAGACAACAGCTACATGACAACCAAAATAATCCATTGCTGGAAAGTTAGTTGGACATAACCACAAGCGTCTATCAGGGATGGCCAATTCGAATAAAGTATTCGAATGTATTCGAATATCTCGTCATTCGAATATCGGAATTAGCGTTCATAAGAATATCGAATATTTGTGTGACGTCACACATTTTCGGCCGACGCCGCTTCCAAGACGTTTCCGTTGAATGAAAACATTCTCGATAGAAACTTGCGCGTGATTGTTTTCATCACTCATCAGCGTAACGTGTTATTTAGGCCGTAAACGTCTTTACGTTTGTGTTATTTTCTCTAAAACGAAAATTTTCCACAAATTTGTTCCACGATAACGATGACAATTATTTTATTTTTGTACGCGCACGGAATTGTGAATCTGGTAAATACGTTCATCGGCGGCGAGTTTCTGAAGACAATGCAACTTTTTGATTGAAAAGCGGCAATTTAAAATACTGAAAATAAAACCGCAAACAATATAAGTTTTATTGAGGCCCGCGAAAGTTTATAAAACGCTTTTCTAGGCTGTGAAAATCGCAAAATTTCGTGGGCCTACTGTACACATTCTGTTTGGTCGGGCGTTTAGAAACATATCGCCACGAATTGAGAGCGGGATTTGCCTGATTATTCATTGCTTTAAATTGCCGTCGAATATTTTCGTGTTAACATTATACAAGGTTTGAAACGCGACATTTTCCCGGGTTGTGAGGATGTATATAATATAATTAATCTTAAAGTATATTCAATCAATTTTATTGTGATGAAATAAATTTTACTCTGAGATGTTACAGCAGATTTATGGATTTTTCGAACGGTTTTATCTGAAAATAATCAGAGTGTCAGCATTTCGATTGAGCGGAGTCATTGTTAACAAGTAGGCCTACATCTAAATATTTGCCGAATTCGCAAAATACGGATCTGAACATTATTTAATCGGGCAGTTTACCACACGTTTTTATTCCTATGATCGCGGATTGCAATGGTATATAAGAGTGGTGAGGATTTTATTTTGTCGACGCAACCGCAGGTTAAATTGAAGACAATTAAATTAATAAAGCAAGACATTTTAAATATGCCCGTATCGGTCACGAATTCATCACTTTGCACAACAGAAAAATATATATTCGTTGTTGTATCATTTGTTGTAAAAGTCGACTCTTTTAACAGGTGGCATAATCACGGCGATGAATATGTATTTTTAATTTACTGCTAAACTTTATATGTATATTCATTGTATGAAATGAATTATACACTACACTTAACAGGATTTTATATCATTATTTGAGATTTTTCTATCGGCGATACCGAGTTGGCAAGATTGCACGGCTGGCAGTGGTGGTCATCTCTTCTCTATTAATTTATTTCTAATTTAAACACAAGTGTTACAGTTACACATATTAACAATATGGTTCACATGAATTGATATACAAATATATTGGTAGGTAGTAGAATACTCTAAGCTTAAATATTAGAATTTTTAAAGGCATAATGGATTTTCGATTGTTGTTGCTTGTTTCAGTTGCCTGTATTGCCAATAAATTTGATTACTCACAGAAAATATACACAATTATCTGAATACAAGTAGTATTTTTGTCAATAGACTTGACTATTATCGTAATATCATGGTACCAATGATAGAAAGCATCAGACAACTCCTTGGCTATCTTTTCATATGGTCATTTGTACAAAGTGAATAATTTTAATAAACTGACTGTGTCACAAGTTGCTATTATTTTTTATTGATAGCTATAAACTATCAATTACTTTGTGTACATATACTGTTGGTTTGTGGCTTTATTCTGACATTTCTATTGAAGCTTATCTCCTAATTTACTGGGTTTTAATAAACTAAAACAAAAATGAGTTATTTTCGATTTTAGAATGTATTCGGAATTCCAGATTCGAAAACATTATTTTAGAATGTATTCGGAATAGTTTAGTATTCGAAAATGGCCATCCCTGGCGTCTATAATGAAATCAATAATCATCAAGGGGCTCTTATTAATGCTGATCATAAGTTTGATTTCAACTGATTCAAAATTAAAAAATTTCTGCAAAAAAATGTCTTTTTTCTCTAACCGTAAATGACATAAATACACAAAATCATCTAAACATCATAAATTTCGGAATATTTAATTATATTGAAAATAAATTCCTCAAATCGCCTAACCTCTCGGTGCCCAATTTTAAGCAAAAAACTTATATAAATATATATTGGCTAAGTTAGTATGCCAGACAAAAAGTTATCAGAATTCTTACCATATTGTTGTCTTAATGTCCCAAAATCAAGTAATTCTATGGATGAATATATCCCGGGAGCTGCAACAGAAAAATCAAGTTAAAAAATATATATTTTTACTTTTACCAATGTAAGCCTTTTTATGTCTTTATGACAAATTCACCAATGGCCCAGTCCTGGGTAAATGGCCTTTTATGATTCTCTGCTTAATAAAATAACAGTTTTAATGACGCAAAGAACTTCGTATTTGATTCTGACTTATTGAAACACTAGTTTTATTATTAAGAAGACATTGACAAACAGTGAAAATGCATACAAGGAAGTGGTTTTTTCAGTACTGTAACACAAAGCAAACAATTCCAAGAAATATGAACAATGCAGTAAGAATTTATTGTAGATTTTTTATGAAGGGTTTGTACTTTTATCTGTAAAACTTTGTGTTTAATACCACGATTTGTATTTGTCTACACATTACAGGTGGCATTTAAATTACTTGAAATAATAGAAATTTTATACCAGTATCAAAAGTTGCATTTTACTGGGAAAAGGTTTTACTTTTAATAATAACGACACACTTCATTATACATTACTTAATAAATGTAGGTTTAAAGTAAAAACATCAAATAACTTTAATTTTTAAGTTCAAGATTAAGTGTGAGGTCTAAATTCAATACAAATCCTTTCAATAACAAAACCAACTAGAGTTAGAGGTCAGTTACGTCAAGTCAATGTACAGTTCACAATGTTTGAGTATTAAATCTAAATAATGTAAATTAGAGTCTTCAGGCAAAGGGTTATGTCTTTATCCATATAATTCCAGAAGCCCATGGCATTTCAGTGGTTCACCCATAACTAAAAGATGAGCCATCTCTACTTCTAAATGAGTGTATGTGATTATGACATAGTCATAATATAGTACCTAAGTAAACTTCGAATACCCGAGACAATTTATGCCATCTAACTAAGAAGAGTCTCGAAGTTTTTTCGTAACTAAATTTTTTCTATCTATTGGGTTTTTACGTGAGTATTTACTTCTCCGTTATCTATGCTTTTGCGCAGGTGGATCCGTATGCATATAATGCAAAGATGCCGTAGTAGGGGGTGAAGATAACTTTCCTAAGTGATTCAATAAGTCGTGCTGAACACTAAAACAAATATATTTCTAAAACATTTCGTAACGTAACGTTTCCAAAGTTTGTATTTGGGTATAGAGTATTTGGTTGTATTAAGTTGAACTATGTATGTCTGAGGAAGTCTGACCTCAGTCAGAAATTGTTACAGAAATATATTTGTAATAGTGTGCAGCAAGACTATTGAATCATTAAAAAAATTTTAGTCGTCTTTAGTAAAAAAATCATTGAAATTCTGTCTCATCATCATCTGATCATTATTTAGTTGATTCTGGCCATTTTCAACAGATTAGAAGAACTGTTCAATAAATTAGTAAAATAAATTGATAATAATATTAACCTGATGACACTTCAACCTCCATTGGTAAAATATGATCAGAGTTTAAATTTTCCATGTGAGCAGTTTTAATCCTGATAAAAGCTGTATGATTCGCTTCCACATGACCAAGAAACCTTGCTCGTATTAATTGTTTTGTTTCATAAGGTGGTATTTCCTGAAAAGTAATACTGAATATTATTATCAAACATTCTGTATAGATAAATGTTAAAAAATTGTGAAAATTAAAACATTATACCAAAAATTTCCATAGAATGAGTTAGGATTTTTATATTTATCCAGGAGATGAGGAACAACATAATTATATGGGAAACTGGCCTCTTGTTTGGTAACAAGTCTATGTCTGGTAACGGAAATATTAACCCATTATTCATTTAATATGCTTTGATTCAATTGCCGAGGAAGCCGCATCATTCCAGAAGTCATAGGAAACTCCCCAAGATGCAAGCAGTCCAGCAATACTCTCAAGCACATTTTTTATATACGTGGGGTGGCATTAAATTGTCTGTCTACTTTTTCACTTTTGGGGGGATAAAAATTTTTTGATCATGTTGCGAGACTTCCATTGCTGAAACGATCATTTTCAAATAAAACTATTATAAACTGACATTATAACCAAAATTTTAATAAACACCTATGAAATATTTATAAATATATAAAATTTAGAATTTTCAAACTTCATTATAAAAGTTTGAAAATGATATTAGCCTTGGTCATCACTGGCAAAAAAAAATTGATTCAAAAACGTCTGTCAGCTTAGCAAAACTATAAACTATTTAGCATTGAATAAGAAGTTTATAGGGTTTCAAACAAACAATATGTTCGGAGTGAATCAGCCTTGTCAACAACAATTTCTTTCTTTCACCTCAAGCCATAACAAAAAAGAAAATATGATACTACTCGGCAGGCAGAAAATAATCATAATACGTCGTGATGAGTGACAGAAAGACAATGAATACCCTTTAGATTATACTTGTGACGTACAAAAAAGAATGTCATACATAGCGTAGAAGACGTTCCATGTAGGCCTATATCTACAAATCAAGACTTCAAATATAATTAATATTCCTAATATAAACTAGAGTATGAGAGATAAATATGTCCCATTTTTATATAACCTAAAACATAAAATTTCACTACTTTGTGAGTAAAACAACTGCGGATATATGAAATTTCAGTAAATCTACATGACTTTTTATGGTTCACAATCGATGTTGGTTTACCACACATCAATCTACAGCAATCTGAAGCATAAAGGTGATTCAAAATGAATATATTCAACTATAAACCCCCTCATCCCACAAGGTTGGCCAATTTGCCTTATGTGTGTACGCCTGTTATAATCGAAAATGAAGATAATCCTAGATTATTATGATTGAGGTAGACTGTCTTCTGAAGCATCCAGATGGAATAATGTTGTTGCATAGCTGTTTGTTGTGAACATACAATCGTTGTTACCCTAATATTGATGGAAACTAGATGCTGAATACACATGCATCAGGTGCTTATATATTCAATATGAAATTGATGTCGTTGGGAACTAGCCTACTTCAAATTCCTGCAGTTCCATATCAGCTCATTTTCAAAATAATAGAAAGATGGACACTAAAAATTTTCAAAAATTACAATAATAGCAAAAAGGGTAGGTAGAAATTTGATACATATTATCTACAAAAAAGCAGGCCACACAATTATTTAAATAGACTGAAAGGATCAAAATAAAAATGAACCAGACCAAAAACGGTAAATCGACATTCGACACTGCTCTGCTATTTACATTCCATTAGAATAAGGAACATGATAAAATAAACAATACTAGTACGACAAAGAAACTGTGTGGTATCATATAACTGCTAGTGTTGCTAGGCAGGCCCTTCATGGTTGACTAATCACAAAAAATGGCAAGTCTCAAAAGAGAATTTGATTTCAATAAAGAGAGAAAGTGAAAAAAGAAAATCGATTGTAGGTTGGAATATTTTTGTATGAAAGAGCATTACAGTATTAGAAACGAATCAAATAAAAAAAATAGCCCCGTTTTATTCCTGTAAATACCATTTAAATTACCATGGCAAAAATTTCAAAGCACTGATCTATACATAACTAAGAATGGTTATTTTATAACTAAAATATATTAATACCAGTACATAAGTTCAATGTTACCAACATGAATTTGTTCTAAACTCTAAAGCATTAGGAATTGTATGATGGTGATTGGCGAGCCGAACCATCATTATTGGCATCATAACCGATTCATAAGATAGAGATATCAGATTGAAGCACTAAGCCCATCCCTTTACTCGAGTGTAAAAATCACAAATCGAATCTCTCCAAAATCAATGAAATTGTATAGGCGATGTATCCATGCACCTTTTTCAGATCAAAAGTTGTAAAACACCTCATGTTAATATATAGTGTTCAAAATTGATGGAAAACCTTCGAAAACTACTCAAGATTGAATATGGTCACCTGTCAATATTTCTGTCCCATGTAAAATTATATTTCGTAGATTGCTAGGTGAGGTATCGTATGAGATTATTAAAACAAAATTGCATACAAAAATATAATGTGCTATTTACAAAACAATGCATGGGTAACTGATTCTAAAAACACATAACAAAATGTCTGTGATGAATTACTACAAATGCATTATATAAAAAATATATATTTATTATATTGCATAAATATATTTATCGTTCGCTGATATAACCAATGAAGACGAATATCGCATAGTCGTCAAAAAGACTGAATATGTGAATTACACAATTGTGTTCATATACAACATAATTCTGTGTTGTCACAGGTGTTGTTTACAATTTGTAACAAAGATTTGACGATTATTTCCACACAAATAAATCTGATTCAACAAAAATTTGGAATCGAAGATATGAGAAAATGAGATTTTGAAAAAAATAGTGATCCCAATTCATTTTTATGCTGAATCAATCACTGTATATCCTTGTATATAAGCAGACCCTCTCAAAACGACCCTACCCAAGTGAGTTTATAAAACTCCGTAAATAAGCCGACCCTACTTATTGTACACTCTTATCGTGAGAACTTATTCGATTTGTGGTTGTTGGAATTACCGTAAGTTAGCGTAATGTAATTTCGTTTGAGTGCGATCAAAGTTTTGCCTCTTCTTTGAGTTTCGAACTCGACTTACATACTGTAGTAATATTTCAACTTGATGAAAAATAGAGAGAAAAATTCATGAACTTTGACTGTGCAAAATCTACAGTTTCCTGTATAAATACATACTTGCGTTAAAAATGCGTTAAAAAAATGCAATAGTTACAAAACCTACCCATTGATCTTTATCAATTTCATGTTGTCCCTGAGGAAGTTGAAGTTGTAAAAATCCACTTGAACTATACATTTCTGTTACCTGAAATAGGTAAAGTTAAGTTTTAGTGGCATTCCGGAGCAAAGTTTTAGGATAGACTCAGGATCAAAAAAAGTTTCGGATAGATCAAATATCAAAATACTTCTAATAGTGTTATAAAGTTGATTTTTGAAGGAAAGACGTTCTTTTTGATTTGAAATATCCAGAATCCCATACATACATTTGGTAAAATCAATGTATACCTCCATTCAAACTTCAAAGTATTTATAAGAGTACAAAATGCACGAGTTGAATTTGAACCCTTTCGACTGCTGGAAACAATACAAAAAACACCAAATATCAATAGACAAGGATAGTTAAATTGTAGATGATCAATAATTGGATGTGCTTTTGAATGTGATACAATTGCATTGAATAACCATAATGAAAACATGTAAAACAATGCTTGTAAATTAAAATGATGATTTTCTCCAAAGCAAATGTCATATTCATCTTATTGGCAAAAGAACATTAAATATTTGGATAGAACTTACAATTGAAGATAAATCACTTTTTTAGTATTTTTTTAGTTGGATGGAAAAACAACAACAAGTTTTGACAAACAATGAAATAAGGCATGGTCCAAATAATTTAAATGGCATTCTGTTTTTATAAAGCATCATTGCACATGAAAGCCCTTTCAGAGGTGTGTTACTTCTAAAAATATACAGCGACTTCTCTCATACAAATCGTCTGGAGCCTAGGAATAGCAGATGGAACTACCTACTTCATGCCAAATAACAGATAAATGACTAATCGTAAGGTTAGATCCATTGACTACTAATGTACTATTTTTAAACTCAACAACCCCCAAACTCAAATTATAAAAATTATGCCTTTTAGAAGACTTTAAAAATTTGTGTGGGTAGTGGATTAAGATTACTCCAATACTGTTCCATTCTTAAAAATTAAGTTTTATATTGGTATAACGTTTTACTTGGTTACATTTATAGTCTGGGAGGCGTGTTCAACTAAATTTTCAATACGATAACAGAGATGGGTGTGTGGAGCAGCGTTCCTTATTTGCTAAGCGGTCGAGCAGAACGCCGGCCGTTAAATCTCCAAATCTAACATTTGCTTTCGAGGTCATAAATCCTTAAAGATCGGTTTTTTATATATAAGATATAGTTGACTCAAGCAAAAATAGGACAGTTTATCTATGAAATATACTCGATTGTGCAAATGCCCACATATTTATCATTTGCCGTGTCTATGGTGGAATATTATGGTATATACAGATAATATTATATTCCTTTACTTTATAACTAGTTGGTTATTAATAAAATCAGAAACTTTCTTAGAAAAGCTATTTAATAATTGCAACTTTGATCATTTAGTCAATGTACTGACAGACTTGAAAAACAATTTTGGTCAAAGTCACAATCTATTTATCTATAAAATCTGAAAGTAATTTTAAAATAATTTTTTTAGAATAGAATAGGATTTACATATTCATCCCTGGGGAAAGGAAAGTTGATAAGATGGCTTATTCATATTATGACGAACCAAGGCCTCTCGTCAGGTTACTCGTCAGTCCATGATGGGTATGGGATTAGTTGGCCAGTTATTAGTATCATGTGCATGGACAAATGGATGCCGGAGGAAGCTGTTACAAATCAGCGGTTATGTGGAGCACCACCCTATCTCAAATATTGAATTGCATTTAACCTTCAAATTGCAGTTCAACTTACAATTTCCTACTTTCCAAACCGAACAATGAATGATGAAAATTTTCCTTTACCTATGAGTCTGTGCAAGTGGCCATAAAATATCTTAAGAGAAGTCAAGTATACTCACTTGTAAAGGTTCACTTGTTGGATTATGCATACTAATTAAAGGTGAAAAACTGCTGTTGATTGGAACTCTCGCACCAAGGTATGGTCGCAACCTGTATGGATTCGGAATTCCAACCCCAAATACCTAAAAAAAGAAAAAGGACACTCCTAAATATTATTCAAACAAGAATATGATACTTGCAAATAGCTGAATAGGGGAGTATACACGATGCATATTTGAATACATAACATCAATTTAGTAAATACTGATACTTTCATAATGCTACGGAGTATCATCACCTCAAACACTTGATATTTTAGTCTTCTTTTGAACACAAACCAATGTGAAACTATCAATAAGTATATAATATACAAGGAAAGCATATTTCATATTCTTGTTTTAGCATGACTTTAAATCACAGAAATAAAATTAAAACAAAATAAAGATAGTATTATATAGCTGATTAGGCTAAATGCATTGTTTTGTTACAATCGATAACATGTATTTTTAAATTTAGATTCATTATTATTTATTTAGAATACGAACACCTCGAAGAAAAGCAGACCACTGAAACGTCGCCGTAGAGCGGTTACACCACGTGCTTGGAAGACGATAATAAACCTGAGAGGCGCGAAAACTACAAGAAAATCAAGGGAGTGTGAAGCGTGAAGCACGCGACTCTCGTCTGCGAATTCGTCGTCTGCCAAAAGGTAATTGGATAATTGGCCAAATCTCCCCGAGTAATAGTAAAATTTGCTGAAGGGATAGTAATTTGAATTTTGAGGTATGGTATGGCGATCGATTTTTTTTTGATGATCGGAGGAAGCCGTTACATTTATTACCTCACGGAAATAAGTTCAGAGTACCACTATTACCGCGTCGCCCGTTCAGTGAAGGAAGTACAACCGACTCCACCGCGTGCCATTTATTATTACTCGTTTCATATTTAGTTGTGTAGCGCGAAAACCTAATCTAATCGAGCAGTCTGTGGTTGGGATAAAAGTTTCATACTGCGGGTGCCGATTTCCCGACTTCACAGCTACGAATTGAACAGCTGAAGACAACGAAGACCCCAAACAATCCTTCCACAACCGTTTTGTGTGATCACATCTGAAAATAGCGCAAAAAAACGGGGACGAAATGTACGAATTCGACAAATTCAAAACATCCCCAATACGTTTCCAGAAGCAATGAGTAAGACAGGTTAATGCTGTGCGCAGTAGTCAAGTGTTATTGATCACAAATCATGTAATATTCCAAATGAGTTCATTGACGGCCATTCTCATAACACATTGGTATGATATGCACAAGGTAGCTGTTTCGCACTATAAAGCAAGTTTCATTGCACATAAATGGCCCAAAACTTCATCTTAGGTACGTTTTATGGTTTTCCTCGACATTGATTGGCATCAATTTGCGACTAGGAGATCCGATTCACACACAAGGATACATTACGATAAGCTGTAGGTAGGCATTCTGAGTCACTACTACCGAGATGATAATCTCGTAGTACACTAGTCCCGACCGCTGAAAGCTAGAAATAAATGATCACATAATATATGACTTGGTTGCCGTGTTTCAAATTATGTACAACTCGTGACATCGTGCCTAGAATTATTGAATTTTGGTCTTAAATCGTTCAACTTCCCGACATTTTGCCAATTCAAATTAGTACGAAAATTTTGAATGTTGTCCCGGGACAAAACTGCGCCTAAAGCACTGAAATATAATAATTATTATCGTTTGCAATTATTCTTAAAGCAGTCAACGACCCGATCGTGGGGGCAACGAATTCTGCTATAATAGTATCATTTCATTATGAATAAGTCATATTCGGTTGGCGATTTTAATACCACACATCAGTGATGGACATATTAATCATGTAATATCAAGTGCGTCGAAATATCAATCCATTATCCTGCGATTAGAACTTGACAAAAATAACAAAATCTGTTCAAATTATCGATGAAAGAATGATAAACTAAATCAGACAACAATCATTGGCAACCAAAATTGTTTGAATTGTTAGTCCACAAACCAACCGAAAATAAAAATTCATCCGATAGGTACATAAAAACATATAGAACGAATGCGGTAATATACGGGCATCAAAAACAAAATTATCTTGGCTACTAATACTATCTTCCGTCCAAGTAAGCGCTAATGAATCGCGTTAAACTCGTGGACAGTTTACTATGCTTTGAAAGTCTGGTATTTTAAGCAGTGACATTATCAATGAATGTTGGCAGTGAGACGTAAAACGACGTGGTTTGGAAAGCGTGTCACTTTTCTCGTGGGAGCTATGACGTAACAAAATCTCCATGGCAATATGAGCATAAAGGCCACCGTAGCTTTCACACAAGATACTTTCTAACCATGAGATAAAATTTTGGTTTTCGTGTTTGTCATTTTGAGTTTAACTAAACTGGAATAGGATAATTTCCTAGCTGATAATAATTTTCTCAAAAATTTGCTATATGTGCTCCGCAGCTGACACTGTATATCTGGATTTTGGCGGAAAACAGATTAAAATGTTCGTTACATTAGATCGAGTATGGTTCACATTGACGAAGCAGCCTTCCACTCGTGGGCCATACATGTCCGAGTATTACCGGTTGTGAAATTAGCGTAGATCAGGTAAGAATAGAAATTACTCTGTTAGTAAGGTCTATCTATGTAAACGGGACAAAAAACTTGCACACATCTCACGCAACAGAGACGCAAAATTTCAACGCAACGCAATTCGATTAGAAGCGTCTCGAAATCCAAATCGTGGCGCAATGTGGTAAAATAATTAAATCCATCATGAGTGAGCAAATTTATACCTTCCGTAAACGACCAAGTTTTCCCAATATGAATTTTGTTTTCGTGTTGTGAGCATTAAAAACGCTCAAATAAATTAATTCGTGTAAAATTATGGACATTGAAAATTCTTTCCAACATGTTGACAATCGGAAATTCTTCAATTTTTATAGAATAAAATTTAGCACAGATAAATTAGCATGAATTTACTTCAAATTAGACCAATTTCAAAATGTAAATTAATTCCATAGTCAAATTGTAAAATACTAAGTATTCGGATACTGACATCCGTAGCGGTGTACCGCGCATAAACGGCCGTTAATATTTTCCATCGGCGTATAACGTAAAAACGTTTTTGTCAGGATGGCCAGGCGTTAGAATTGTAAATGGCGGTTGCTAAGAAACGCATACCTGATTCGTGTATGGCGAATAGTATTCTTCATTGCGATAAGAATAAACGATTACCTATGTATCCGTATTTAAAATTAGCACACAACACCGACGTCAAACTATTTTTGGCGTCAGGCATGGAAACGTGTTCGAGTCACGTGACTAAACAACAGAACTGAATATGATTTCATATTTCACACAGAGTTGAAATACAACGCTGAAGTTTCTTTGTGTTGAGTTCAAACAAAAAGCCACAAAAATTACGTCAATTTAAAATGACATTACAGCAATTGGGCAAGTCCATACTAGCATTGATAGTTCAAATGACCAATCCAAATTTGCTATAATGGGATTTGATATTTTCATTTTAAAGGGATAATTTACTACCTTATTTCTTAATCAATACCATAAAAATAGTTTATTAATCATAAGTTACAACAATTTTATCCAAAATTTGAAATTTAAGGTTCATTATGGTTTTACTTTAAAGTAAATTCATCCAGGCTGTTCAAATCAAAATAAATCTCATGATGTAATTCCCGAATCCCTAAATCACATTTCTAATTTAAGTACATATTAAAAACAAGCTAAGTTGGAAAGAATGGATGGCAACTTTAATCAAGTGATGATGTATAGTGTATACCAATGACAAATTTGAATTGATTCCAAGACTTGTTCTGGCATTTATCCAATTCTTGTGATGCATACCTAGCTCTCTAAACCAGAGATGGCCAAAAGCGAATACTGTAATTTACTATTCTGAATACATTCTAAAATATTATTTTGGAATATATGATAAGTGTATGTTCAACGGAGAACTTGTAGGAGCCATTGCATATTTAGGAACTTGAATTTAAAAAATTAAGACATAAAAACAAGGATTTTATGAGTTCTCTATTACATAGTTTTCAGGAATTAAATGAAGGCATTTTTGTCACACTGTGGCCTGTGATACTTCTTATACTTAAAATATATTTTTGAAATGATACCTTTCTAAATTACGGTAATCATAAAACTAATATTTAAAATATTGAATATCAGTAAGTGATTCATTTTGATTATAAATGCTCTCTATACCTTTGTTTCGCATTTTACCATAATGTGGAAGCCAGTATACATACAAAAGATGAAGTAGAATACATGAAGTCATAGAAACACGTCTGTAAGGGCGTATTATACTTTCCACACATGGATCTACAAAACCAACTTGGTCCATTCTTTGTGTAAATACCAGTATTGAATATCAGTCGTCTTGAAAACACTTTAAATAGCGATGTTCTATTTGGGTTTCTGACACACAATAAAGTATTCAGCATAGGAAGAACACGAATTTGTTTTCTTCATATACCTTTTCCCTCTTTATAGCAAAGATATGCTGCATGGAAGAGTGGGTATTTAGAGTAATATCAACTCTATTCACTCAGTTTATAAATATTCTAAAATTTTGTTTTTTGAAATTAAATCTGTCCATTTGTATTGCTATACCCGTACAATTGTAGAATTTGTATCAAACCCAGGCTTTTATCTGATAAAAACTAATCAATTTACTCCGAAATGCAATATTTTAGTTGATCAGTCAATTCATTTTCTCTACATCTATTTGCATAGCATCAGTAAATCTTACATTCTATCTATCATGAGTATGAGAATACAACAGCAGATTAGATCAACATTATGTTAAAAAAAATATATTGATCTGAGTGGCTTGATTTTGATTATTAGTGAATCAATTTCACGAAAATGATTTTGGTTATTATTACATATCATTACAAATTGGTTTTCAAGAGGGTATGAATAAGTAAAAATTTTCACCATAGTAATAATAGAACAAATACAAAATGTCATACCAGGAAGGAAACTGGCAGTGTTACATGACTTCTTGTTGCTATTCACATACACAAATGCAACATGATCGAAATCACGTTTTATTTGACATATGTCATTGTTTGTACAACTACAGGCACATTATTTCAGTTTGGTAACAGCAGTGACATGACATTGACAAATATTGTGGTACAAATATAAGAGTATTGAAATAGAATTAGAATTTGTATGTGATTCTCAATCATCAATACTCATTTGTGATTCTTCTCAAAGTCTATACATATGGGAAAACCAACAGGTCAACTATTATTGCAAACGGTGACACAGATAAATTAAACTTAGTTTTCAATGATATCCAAAAATTGTGTTTATTCAGTGTATATCTCATAAATATATTGCAAAATTTGTGATACACGACAGGACAGAAGAATATTGATATCTATAGCTATTGTAATTCACAAATTATTGAAGCTATGGCTAGAGCAAGTGCTGTTCTACGACAACAGTTATAAAACTGTGCTGAACTGTGCTATTAGCTGAATTGCACAAGGAAACTGTGCTATTGTAAGCCTCTACAAAATTCAAATTACACTATATAGGCAGATACAAAAGAGTTTGTGAAGAACACACCTATATTAACATCAATATCAAATCTTTGATAAAGTAGAGACCGTATAACATTGATGTTAGATGAACACAGGCCATGGTAAGACATAATGCAACATATATATTGCAGAACTCTTTATATTGCAGCAAACTATGCATTAAGCAGAGGCATTAAGTCAACACCAAACTGTATTTGACTGGTTGTGTACAATACAAAAATTCAACAAACATTGTGGTGTGGTTAAAAAAAGTAACAGCAAACTGTCTTAATCAAACATGGCTTTAGATGAAATTCCATTAATTCAGCATTTTCAATTATTATCGATTAGATAGAGAAATCGGAATGGATGGAAGGAGGAAAATAATGAGAAGAGGTATTACTTTTCATGGTGGTTAATTTAAGGCATCAACGTCTTTATAGAAAAGTAGAATTACTGTGAAGAAAATTGTGTTATATTTAACCTGATAATGTGGTATTATTTTATTATTTAAAATAGTCGATATAGATATATTAGATTTAAAATCACCAACCAACATAGAATGCTTTTATCATCACAGCTGTGTTTGTGACATTTCATAGTAAGGCCATCTGGAAAAATTTGTGTCATTTTAGTAACAAAAACCCAAAATTTTGATGACCATAATAAAAGGGCTTTCAAGCTACTGGTTGTAAAACTACAGCAAAAGCTTGGAATATGTTGAAAGAAATCTTTATTCATATACTCTGCTATAAACTTCAAATTTCACCCTATTTTAGAATCCTTGTGCTGTAACAAACATCAAAAAAAAGTTGAGGTCAAAATAAATAAATTTTTTTCTTACTATTCAGATGATCAAAATTACTATTTTTTGAATGAAATGTTCAACTTTTGCTGAAAATTACATATATAATGATTTAGGTGCAAATAATATCTATTGTGATGGGTTTAAATCCGAATAATTACATTAGAGAGAGTAATGTACAATAACAATACAGAATTATAGACATCACTTGTCACATACACAGTTCAAGCAAAATAAGTAACATAGACGAAGGGACACGAAAAGCGACATAATTTCAAGTAAACCTACTACTAACTGATAGGTCAAGTGTACTGAACGAAACAATTACGTAATGTATTGATGTCAGATATTTATTATTTGTCCCGCATTAGAAAACACTATATGTGAGGTCCGTTTAATAATGGTACAAAAAATTTAAATGTGACATAACACGGCAATTGACCGGTACATCGAGGTGTGAGTAATATGACTGCATTAGAAAAGGCTAACCAAATCATGCTGAACCTTTTGTAGGCCTGCTTTAAAATCTACAGCAACAGGAAACGACTGATGCAAAGTCCTAATTACTAGACAGGCAAACACATATGATAATAATATTAATACAGAAATACAGTATCCGATAAAACTTTAGACTGCTAGTTAATTTCTGACTAGACATGTGATGGCCACCAGTTTTTGTAAGAAATTGGAAGGCAAAGAAAGATAAAACAATGGCGAAAAAAAAACGCCAGGCAATAGCGCTCATTTGATTGCCTATAAACAGGTATAACTATGTAACAACTTCAGGCTTATGAATATTTCTGTAAAACAATACTAAATTCAAGTATTTAATAAATCAAACTTTCGCTCTACAAAACATATATAATGTTTATTTAGTAGTATTAGTATGACGTATCATGCAAAATGAGAGGTAATTAGATACAGCTCAAAATATTTGTTATATAACAAAAAAGCGTCCACATTAGTTATATTACTTATTTGAAATATATTCTGAAGGCATAATCGAGTATGTGGATTAGGTTAATTAAGAGGACAACTATATTGCCATTTATGTCAAAGCATTTTATATGTAAGCTAATTATGTTCATCAGAGTGAATCGCTTTGCCTAATTACAGTTGATGCTGGGAAATAAAATTTTTTTTTTTTATCAAACTGCTGCCTTAATTAATTGCTTTTAAATAAATTTTTTCAGGTTACAGAAAGACTATTATTTGTATTTTTTTATATTTCATTCTCATCTCTGTTCTCCCTGAGGCCAGGTGTTTAACAACAAACTTTGCTGGAATTTCCAAAATTTCTCCACCATATGCTGGGTTTTTCCGCAGATGACTATTATACCGAAAAGCGAGTGTCAGCAAACTGCATATTCTAACGGTGCTGTACAGTATTTCATGTCCATATTTTTTTTAATTGCTCACAAATATTAAGTATATATTGACTTTTTACTTACTTGATATGGAAACATTCCATGCACTGTGTTTATAAATAAAGTATTTTCAACATTCCCAACTATTCTCGCGAGAAAAACAACTTCAAATGACGTGTTGCCTCCCGGTGGAACAATCTGAAAAACAGAAATCATAGTTCAACAAAAACGAGTGAAGCGATCTAACAACAACTAAATTTTATTGAAGTAAAGGAAATGTAGCCCTAGATAGAAGAAGATAAAAGAATGTAGAACTAGATAAAAAAAAAGACACCATGTCGAGAGGATAAAATTTGGGTAGGCAAAGACACAAACATAATAAAATTTGAAAAAATGTGAAATTTTATTGATAAAACAACAATATAGATACCACTTATGAATTTGTTTTTAGGATTTAGCATTATTATTTGAATCCCTCGGAATTGTGATTACACCTCACTTATTGGCAAATACTAGCCAACAAATGCAAGGCATATATTAGTAAATTTCCATATTTTCTTACCTTTTTATCAAAAAATGAGGCATGAAAATGACATGTTCTCGCTGATATTGAAGTTAATTGTAAATCCCTCACTTTACTAGGATTATGAATATATACAGTTCTTAACTTTGGCATGCCGACACATCTGTGAATAAAAACAACAATTAAATAAGGATTCAGGTAAAGTATACAACACATATATCAGGAGTTTAATATGGCTTATTATTAATTAGCATGTTGTAGCTATCGTTGGCATTGACATTGAAGGTTATAGATTTTAGGTTTTAACTTACAAAATCTTATTATCTCGCATCAGTAATTAGTTGGAGCAAAGAAGTAAAAAAAACATAAAAATGACATAGGTACATATTCCTGTACTTGAAAAATAGTAAAGTACATAAATATTACACAGGACCATATTATTTTTGTATTCTAGAGGGGTCTGAGATATATATCGATTCTGTTTATTAACAAAAGATGTACTCAAAGCAGAACCATATTTAAATACAAGCTTATGCTCTGAGAAATAAATCTTGTTACATGCTCACAATTAGTCAATTAAATATTATTGGATACATAAACATTTACAATACAAATACAATGAGCGAGGATGCATATTGGCTCAAAACTATGCTAATAATATGGTGATATCTTGTTCCAGATGTGCATTAGATTAGGCCATGCAGTATTGATTTTCAATATACTTACTCGGCATCAAAGTCTAAAAATGGAGGTTCAAATCGAATAATTCTTATTTGTGAAGTTGAGTGCGTAATTGGATGTAATCTAAGAAGAAAATTTCATGAATGTTAAAAAATTTATACTTTTTTAATAAATTACTTTGACAAGTTTATTTATTAAAGTTTGTTATCCAAGGCATGTCTTCGAATCTTAAAACAAAAAGATTCCAAAATAAAAATCTGTATATTATGGTCACTGCAATCAGAAAAATTCGCTTAAACACATTAGTCTTATTTCAAATATAAAAAAATTCGATTGTAGCACAATCTTTCAACAATAATTCTTTTTGGCAATAAATTTGAAGCTGAGAATAATATCTTGTGTGATCAGAAGAGCTATATAAAAAAACTAACTTGAAACAATTGAAACATTATTAAATAAAGAATCAAGAAAACATTTAAGATACAGAAACCAACATGGCAGGGTGTAATTGGAAGTTTGTAGAACTTTTGATGCTATTGAGTAGTTAGTTAGTTGTCTGTTATGCTTATATCAGAAATGCTAGTCACATATAAAGGCTGACATGAATACAGGTAATATCGATAGTTAAATATGGGTTTATACCAAACTATTATCTATTGTGTGTGGTTTTATTAGAGGTGCGCCTTGAATCTTAGGCTTTAGGATTAATCCTAGAGTCAAACATAATAAAAAAAAGCAAAAAGTTGGAAATATTTTTAATAAATACAGTAACTTACTTTATATCATGCGATTCTGATGTTACTCCATGAGGCTAAAAGAAATAAAAAATTATCATTTTTAGAAAAAAAATTATTTTGGAAATAATTTACCAGAAATTTAATCTAGGAAAACTATTCATAATGAAATCTATTACAATAGTAAACCTAAGAATATGCAATTTCCTTTTTGAAGGACAATTTTCGTGGCAAAATATAAGTAATACTTAGTCTCCAAAATTTGGAATAAAAAGTTCGAATAAATTTTTTAAAAAATTCATGAATATTCGAACTATACGTCATCATAAATATGGCCCAAATATGAACTCGTCATTGTCAAACAGTGGGACATGTAGGCTACTACAAACCATGTTGAGAAATAACACACTAACACAATCCAACAAAAAATTCTCTAACCTGTTGCCTTGGAAATAATGAAACATCTCGTAAAAGTTTTTGTGATTGAAATTCTGTGTCTGAATACAGATAACCTGGAAAGAAATTATAAATTCATAAAATAAAATACCTTTACTTACAAATTTATAAAACATAATACTTTCAACAAAAATCTGTTTGCTGTAATAAATTATTGCTTAGATCAAGATAATTTACCTTGAAAAAATGCAATGGCTAATAATAATAAGATTGAGAGAAGTTGACCGCTTTATGAAATATTTCAACAATAATATTGTAATGTAATACTGTATCATGACTCATATAGTATATAGCCAAAATCTGTCAGTTTTGAACTCATATAACATCAAATCCACATAATATATTTTACATACACCTCTTGTCTAACTTTGCTAGGTTAATAAGCGCCCTGTGCTCTCCTGTGATAGGAGATCACGCAAATGTTATCTAGTAATTCCCTACTTTTATGAAGTATTTTTACACTTTTATCACATCAAATAAAGCCCTACATAAGAACTTACTAATACTAATTTAAAAGAAGTCTTATACGATTTTAGTACATTTTTTAGTTTATTCATTATCAGATGACAGTATATATTTTACCACGGTCAATAACTGATAATAACAATATTCAAAACATATTGTTCGATCAAGTCAGTTTTGGTGACTATTTCCTTAAAAATATGCCCTGGCTGAAACTTAAATAAACGTTTTCTATTCATTTATTATATTACTAATTTCCTTCTCTATCATCATGATTATAAAGTAAAATCCCTTTTTAAAATGATACAGTTATTTCAATTTTTTCATACTGGTCCTTCATAAATAGGTACCAACCCCGTAAGTGCAGCAATTTAGGACTTGAAGTTTACTACCTTCTAGTACAACACTATACTATACCAAGTCTAGAAGTGTTCAAGTTTGTACTTAGCGTTACTACTTGCCAATTTCAATATTTTTATTGACAAATGAGTGATATACAAATCCATACTTTTTCAAGCATGTACCGTAGGTAAAAATTTAAAACACCACTCTTTATTGTCAACTTAGTCAATCCCAACAAAGAAATAATGTTTAAATACTTTTAATAAGCACATATTCCATCAATCTCCAGTTAATATGAGGCTACAAAACCGACTACACATTGAGTGTTGTAACAGATGGGATTTAATTCTGGACTTGAACGGTTCTAATAACACAGCGGAATATTGATTTTGTAGTAGTACTCAATAGGACTATTAAAATAACATATTCAGTTAATGATTTTGGTAATCAAGATCATTGATTTAGTAGAAAAGAATCGAAAACAATGCTTTTTTTATAGAGATTCACTCATATGATGAGTTATTTTATTCATATATATATAAAAAATTAAGTTACAATTTTTGATTTCTGATATTCAAAGTCAAGGGAAAACAAAAACATACAAATAAATTCTCAGGGATGCCATAAAAAGGAAAACAGGAGCGATACAAGTCGTGAAGCAGTTCAATAAGTCAGTGTGGATAGGGCTACAGTTTGTTATATGTTGAATCGGGGAGATGTAAAAAAAACTCGAACAAACAAGCAGTCCAATTGGGCAGAGATTAGATAAACTCGATTATTCCATTCAATTCTATAAGGATGGTGAGAACTTCTTGTGAATTGGTGGGGACATTGTTTTTGAAACAAGAATTGAAAATGAACTTGGTTAATTTTAACAAACTTTTCAGAAAATATCACCAAATGAGCGACAAATGAGTGCTATTCAAAAACTGTTTCCAAAATATGGTGGGGTATGAAAATAATATTTTGCTGAATCTTTGACAATAATAAAACGAAAATCAAATTGCTGATTTTCCGAATTCATTTTTCCTTGTTCATACATTAATGTAACACTATTAATACAACTAGTAACAATGTGTTGATTATTGATCCATACCAGTTGTTTAGTATAGTATTCAGTCATGAATGATACTCAAGGGAAAAATTATTACAGTGATATGGATACAACAGCTAACAACTGTGAGAAGAGGATTTGAGGTCTGTATTATAACTGAATTATTAATCATATGTTCAAAATGAGGTTAGTATCAAACACGGGGCGAAGAAAAATAGCACCTAATCAGTGAATATACATCATCACTGGACAATGGGTGTTCATAATAAATAAATATTTCTTTACCAAGTACAAACAGATAAAATGAGCCTATTTAAATAAGAGATAATAAAAACTGGTCACCCTACTAAATACCACAGATATTATTGATACAACAAACACCTTGCATTAAGTAAAATGCGCTTGCAAGATGTTGCAGAGCTTATCTTTGATTGATTAACGACTTGATGATGAAAGCATGAAATAATACAATATAGTAGTAACACAGTATAGAGAGAAACTGGGCAAATGATTCAAAAATTCATCATCAATTTGCATTTTCAATATATCCCTGTATTATACGTATTGTTTCAAATATTTTTCAGGACTTTGCCTAAGTTATGCTGTGAAAGTTGTTAAATATATTTAATACTATGCAACACTCCGAATCGACATCATTTAAATAAAGCTAACCTGATAGCTATTGTATGAAAATTTTTATTCTTGGAAAATCATTTGGAGATTTCAGGTAAATTTTACTTGTATTTGTAGAAAGGTTCATATCGAATTATACATACCGGTAATATTTTTATAAGGAAACTTGCTCAAAGCAAAGGCATGCACACTTACGCAGAAATTAAACAAATTGACTGCTGAGCAAAATTACATGCTACACCGAGATGCCAAGATCTACCGAGACAAGAAATAATTATAGTCTAGAATTCAAGAGAAACACAAACAGTTCAAATCATTACAATCAGGATAGCAGCGCCTATAAAATGGTGCATTTTCCTATATTACTTAAAGAAAACCTAAAATTTCAATATTTCAACAGATGCTTCTTTAATATCACCTTTAGTATTGTCGTTGAAGATAAATGAATTGGAATATTTAATTTGATCAATATTATAGGAAATCCCTACTAACAGTTGTTGGTTATAATGTACCCAAGTACCAGGAATCCGGTATATGCCGAACAAGGAAGTACCAGCAGCCTATTCACAAAAAAATATGTGATGGAATTCACTTATTCAGCTTGCGCAATGTTCAATCATTTAGCCTTTGGCCATATTTTGGAAACATAACAATTTAACAAAATGATAACAATTACAACATCGCCTTATTAAATGTCAAGCTATGAAATCTTGTGGTGTGAGTGTGGTAAACACTAAAACAATCTTCCCAGCTCATAAACATAAAATATTAGTGTGGGCGTACAGTGTATAAATGAGTAGCTTTATATGCAAATATAGGTTATCGTAAGTCTTGATGTTGAAAATGAAAACAATATCTTTTTAAACTGTATTTGAATTGAAATAAAGGAGTTTAACATGTGGTACTAAATCCCAAAAAAACCTGAAGTCATCAGGCATGATCAAGCTGACAGTATTCATAAACTCCGAAACAAATGCACCAATGACTAACATACATATAAATTCTTGTGAAACAACCAGCATAATGATAATTAAAGCATATGGTCTAATTTATTAAATGCTATCGATAGACAGTAGTCAGTACACAATAAGTAATGAAATATGGATATCTAATTTAAAATTTGAAAAAAAAGACATATGGATATGGCTGTAAAAATCAGACAACTGTGCCGAATACTAAACTATTGGGATATGGTTATTCGCCATCTTCAGTCCAATTTTTTGGTAACAGATTCATTAACAATGAGGAAGAATTGACTTTATCATTGTTGGACTATAACTTCCACTATGCAAAACCTGATATGCCCTAATATTTCATGCGTTTTCCCATCTCACAGTTTTAGATTCTGTTTAAAAATCTCCATTTGTACGTGAAAAATCAGTAAATGTTTGGTATATATTAAATCAAGGTACCGGTAAATACAAGACAGAACTAGATTTTATTCAATTTTTTTAATTTTTGACTTGTATATAATATTTCATGACCATTCAGGTAAGCAGCATTATAATGATATTGATAATCAGTCAAAATCCAATATTAAATAATAATTAACAATAACAATATAATAATCACTTGTAATAATTACAGCAATGATTGTAGAACATGTTACTGCCAGTTGCACGCTTGTTGGTACATGTTACTGTCATTTGCTTTTAACGACATACTTTGATTTTAATGATATTCTCGAAATGTATTCATAAGAGCATCCGACATGTTAGATGAATTAAAGAAGAAACAATTACAATTAAATATGCCGATATGAAGGTGATAATGAAGATCAGCAACTATGATTAAAAACAATGCTTTGGCAACATGACATGTCATACCTAACTACAATACAATCATAGTCATGTCTTCAATGATAATTTTGACAGGGTCTAACAATGTGAGAACTGTCATTTTAACACTAAGAAAATAAATTAAAATGCAAAAACTAATTCCATCTGGTCAGTACCAATATAGATAAAGTAATAAATTTAGTGTAATGAGATTTTTTGATAGGTCAGTTGAGTTTACATCATCACACAACTATGAAATTACTTATGGCATGACTTATGATATTCACAAAGCTTTTCATGCTGAAAACTGAGCTGATTATCTTCATATTTGAAAAAACTTATTAGTGTATTATAACAATTATATTTCCTTATTGAACAATGTATAAGTAAATCATTGATTGTCTGGTGACTGGTTCAATGCATATAATTGAACTGATACAAGTATTGATTGGTGATTTTGAGAAACCTGACAATATATTTAGATATTGAAATATAAATAGAACTTGAGTAATTTCTAATCAAAAAAATTTACTAGGTAATATAATAAAACACTTTGTTAAAAAATTCATAAATTATATATATTGGGTGGGCCTACCTAAGCTCTCATTAACAGATATTCTTTTTTTAGACACTAAGTAAGAGGCATGAAATGATAACGAAAACATAATTTGGGTCATATCTGTTTTTTTAATATATATCAAACTTTCATGGATTTTCTGGTTCAATATATAAATTTATAAGTACACCATATATTCTGAAAAATTACATGATTGGCTGATCGCAAAATACACATTACTATCTTCTTATTGATTCTTTGATAGAAGGATCCTTGACACTTCATAAGACAATATAGATTTATCTCATTATTAATAAACTTGTACCAAACACTCAATTTATACAATGCATTACTGATTACTGTGAGAATGATTAAGTTAGCTTTAACAGTCCAAGCTGACTAGTTCCATTATGGTTAAAATTAAAAGTACATGTTTCAAGCACAGATTTTATCTACAGCTCCTAACCATAATACATACAGACATAAACATACTTCATTGATAAACTATCTAACTATGGGATGCATGGTGAAGTCTAAATTGCAGCAAGATACATGATTTTGCCAGCGACAAAACTAAGCGTTTTTACTTTCAATGACTAGACTACAAATAACACATCGTTTCCTAACTGGGACAGAATTTTATTGTTTTCGAAGCGGGAATGTAGGTTTTTCTGGGGAGAAGTCCAGCAACCCTCTCGCACATACCGGTAATCATCTGTCACTGGATTATGACCTGCGAACCCACACAGAAACTGAATTACTGAAATTATAAAACTGTTTGACTGTAAGATACCGGTACCACTTGGTATCTAGGTAACACTTTGATTATTTTGTTCATTTCTTTTGTACTCTAGGACTTTTGTGCTACATATTGATAATTTACTGAACAGCTACCAATACTGCAATAACTGACTGATAATACTACAGTACAGAAATACTCGGATATTTGGAATTAGATATTGGCACAGCTTCACAATGAGACAAGCAATGAACAGCAAAGAAACAAAATAAATTAACTCACCTTGGCCTGATATAAAGGTTATACTTTGGCAGGCAATCATTACTTGAAATATTGCCACTATACAGTTACATAATCCCATATCTTGCTCGCGCTTTTCGCGTTTTCCACGAGCTTTAAACGCCATGTCCGACCTTCGCTTGAGAACTAAACACAAAACAAGGAGGCACGACCTGAGTCCCAAACAGCCCACCAGACAAAACAAACGTAATTAGTGAGATAAGAAAAGAGAGATAAAATATACGGAGTGAAGCTGTCGCACGTTCAATGAGAGAAATAAGAAAGATGACTTGACGTGCTCGTTCAGCCATTTAAAAAGTGGGATGGGCACAAATAGCGAAAAACGTGGTCAACAATTACTCTCATGCTTGCTTATCGTTGAACTCAAGTCAGACTGCTCCAGAGAAACTGCTGAATGTGTCACATGGGACTTATTTAGAGAACTTTTATTGGTTTTAGAGTTACTCCGTCAATTTTCACAACAATTGCACTGACCCTGAATAATAACCAAGGAACATTTGGCATATTCTCACCCAATTCTATCTGTGCTTTTATGTTTGTACATTAACACATGTATGAACTAGATGGTTCCATTACATTTGAACCCACGTACATTTGAACCCATGACAATTGCACCTGTATGGTATTGCACCTATGGAATTTTTTTTGTTTCACGGATAGTTAAACCCATACTAACCCTAACCCATGGGTTTTAGCACCCGCATATAGATTGAACCCGTGGATATACGCATGGATTCAAATGTACGGTCACCGAACTAGATATGTACCGATACCACTTTTATCGCCGATACCGATCCGATACCGCTACGCCGATATTCGAAAATGACCGATATTCCGATACTATATAATTGTTACCTCAAGTGCGCAAGGCAGACGGTTTAAGTTAATACAATAGTCTTTGAGCATTATAAATAGTGCACATTATTTCGGATCAAAAAAGAGAAATATCACACACACATACATATATTAAGCAGAAGTAGATGTTTGGGATCTGAATGCCTCAATTGATCCAGATGCACTGAACACTGGCGCTTGCAATCTCGGTGTTCAATTAGAAAACTAATAGGATTTGGCTACTGTTGGTGGTAAAATAAATAAATGTTTAGCCTACGTATCGTATGAAACTGATACATTTAGTTACGCGCAGGATTTTGTGCCAATAGAACGTAGTATTTTATATTTTACGCATCGGAACATCAACTAATATTCGATTGAAATATTTCTTCCTAATTACCATGTAATATATATATATTAAAAATTTTAATTTAAAATTTTGGCAGCAAAAATACTCAAAACGATTGAGCCAGTTTGGCTGATAAATAACTAAGAACAGGTAAGAATCCCATTCTCGTTTCTACTGGCGGAGTTGGGGACGTGTATATTCACGATTCCCCCAAGAAAAAATTATTTAAACATCAGTATTCCAACTTAATTTTTAAAACATTCTGGATCATATCAAAAACGTAAACATATAGGAAATATGGTTCCATTACATTTGAACCCACGTACATTTGAACCCAGGACGATTGCACCTGCACACTATTGCACCTATGAAAATTTTTGTTGTTTTACGGATATTTGAACCCATACTAACCCTAACCCATGGGTTTAGGACCCGCATATAGATTGAACCCGCGAATATACACATGGGTTCAAATGTACGGTCACCAGGAAATATATATCGGTCTTCATTTAGCCGTTATCGATACACTACTGAAAATTTGACCGATATTGATGACACCCGATACCGACACACCGGTACATCCCTAATTTTAAATAACATTGGTTCTTACTTAACTACATCTTACAACCAGTTTGGTTTCAAGCCTGGTCACGGGACTGCATGTGCATTTTTACAATAAAGCAGCTAGCTACCTATTATTTCAAAAAATCATTACCAGTTTTTATAGCTTTTTTGGATGCCACTAAAGCTTTTGATAAAGTTAATCATTGGACGCTATTTCGTAAATTATTCAACAGAAGAATCCCTAAAATATTTTTGTCGCTGATTGTACACATGTATCGTAATCAATCCATGTTTGTTAGATGGGGTAGCAGTGTGTCAGATCCTTTCTCTGTCCATAATGGTACCACGCAAGTTAGTATCTTAAGTCCATATTTATATGCCGTTTTCGTGGATGACCTCTCTGTTAAGTTGAATCAAGAGACCACTGGATGTGTAGCAAATACCAATATTATCAATCATATTTTTTTATGCCAAAGCCCTTTAACGTTTACTCAACATATGCGAAAAATACTTTATTGAACATGACATCTTGTACAACTCGAAAAAATCTGTTTGTATGTGTATCCAGAATAAAAAGTTTAGGTTGAATAATTTGCCTGATATCAACTTTTGTAATTCTGTATTGACATATGTTTCGTCCACTAAATATCCTGGTGTTTTCCTATCCCATGATCTTGGAGATGACCTTAACTTGAAACGCCACTATAAATCAATTTATTTTACAGCCCATAATATTTTGAAAAAATTTGTCAATTGTTCCACTACTGTGAAAAATCTTTTATTTACGACGTTATTGTTGTTGTAGTATTTATAACTGCCAGCTCTGGTTGTTTTTCAATAATTATATTTAAAAAAAAGTTAAAACTTCATATAATAATGCTTATCGCGTAATTCACTGTGTTTCTAAATCTGAGAGTGTCCGTCACAAAATGGTATCTGGGAACATTCCATCTTTCGAGGCAATCCATAGAAAAAATCTGTGGTTGTTCATGACAAGATGCAGGAACTCCAATAACATCCATTTACAATCGATATTTGATTCCTAGATACTGTTTGTGACGGGCTATCTTGGATTCTATAGTTCACTTTTGACTTCTTAGATTACTGTATTAACTCTTTTTGAGATATACTAATCTGATTGTCGTATTAGGTATTTTATGTATTTATTGTGTTATTTTGGCTTATGTTTATTTGTTTGTGTTATTTTTATATGGACCGCAGCGGTCTGGAGTAATAAACGAATTGAACTATATTTGTTTATTTTAGAAAAGTGTTCATATGGGTCGCTTCGCTAAACCGTAGTTGTTGCTTATTACTTATCGATCTTAAGATCGGTAAGTATGTTGATAGGTATTTGTCTGTTTGTTTGTTTGTTTGTTTGTCTGTTAGATACACGCGATATCTCACGAAAGCGAGGATGAATCCGCTCCAAATTTTGCATATGCATTAATCATATTTCGGATCAGAAGCCTATCGATTTTGGATGAATTATGTCGTATAATTAGCGAGTTATTAATTAATTAGTGATGGAACACAAGGTGTCACTATGGAGTAAGAGCGCTGTTTTGGGAGATCTCCTAACTTTCGATCGATAAGTCTTCGGTCTCTGACCGATATTCTCGTATTGTTATTGTTGGTATTCTTTTCGGAAGAATACATTTTAGATAGGCTTACCATATATCTGAAGCAACAAATCGGGACAGTGCGGATAGGGAAAAGCCAACCTTTGTTCGATTACAGAGACTTAGTAGTAGTTTAAACGTTTTCCATACCATTGTGAGTAGATTACAGGCATCAAATTTAGCCATAAATCCTATTAAAATATCCTCTATTGGTTTTTGCTTCAAATAATGGAAATCGTTTAACTCATTAGGAAACTTGCACTTTATTTTCGGCACTTTGATGATTGAATGGCAGTAGTCTACACTTGGTTCTTGGATTAACGCATGGTTCATACTTCATATCATATGACATAACAGTTTCATTTTCTATCTGAACTAGTCAAGTGAGACGCAAATGTAAATCAGCTGTCTCCGTTAGAAAAACAATTTTGTATTAGTAACAAATAAAAATATTATTTATGACTGACATTTAGGTCTACCGCCGGGACTGCGAAAAAAACTTGCTGAAACCGGGACGTATGGTGAGCCGAATTTTAGAGTCGATTTTACATTTACTGAAACGGTGGAAGAAGTCGCAGAAGTTTAACTCTTTTTCTCATTCAATTCCAGTCAAGTCGAATAACTTCGGATGATTACCAAGCCGCAAAAGGAAAGTTCGAGTCGATATTTCTTGGCTAAACATAGTTTACCTACCGAGTACGAAGTGGACCTATTGATATTTTACATTGGTCGATATATATATATATATATATCGGTCAGCGAAGTTGGGAGATTTTTGAAAAGAAGGACTACCGGTACTGTGTGAAAGATTTGATACTACCTCGTTTTGGGTCTCGTGTTAATATATTTGAGCGCAGCTCCTTTGTTTTCAATATACTTTATGTTGCAAAGCAAGAATGATGAATACCAAATAGATGAGTAAATTCGTCGACGCATAAACCAAATACTCACTACAGTTTCGCCCTTTTATCCCATTTTATGATTGTCTCGATATTTAGAGAGATGAAACATATTTTCTATGTGAAACAAAGGTAATCACGGAGAACGGCGTTGTAAATATCGTAATTTCATCTTATGTTAGACGCTGTAACGTAATTATTTGACTTTCGTGTCCATATATTTGATAAAAGTATTTATTATGTTAATATTATAACATTGGTAAATAACTAATAAGCAGCTCTATTCCATTAGTGCAACGAAACAATTAAAGCGGTAGCATCGTAACGTAATGCTCGCTAGGTAAGTTTTTTTGTTAATTAGTACGTCAAGCTACACAACGATGTCTCATAAGTGGGTGAAACATGCGATAAGGAAGGCGTCGGCAGGTACATAAAGGTTCACTGGCATTGTCCCAACTATGAAGTACGACAACTGGGGGATGCGATATTGCTACAAACAATAATAAATATACTAAAGTAGGCGTTGTCAAACTGCGACACACTGGTGTTTTTTAATCTCGAGGCCCGTGCTTCATCGTCCAGGCCCAGTCAGCGTGTTCCCTGCCGGTGTATATGATAAGTCGTATTCATAATACATTTTTATAAGTAACAGATAGTTTTATTTACTAATAAAAAATATCTATCACCCCCTAAACTCCATAGTTAGAGTTTTCGTTGCATTCTGTTTCATCCGTCAAAATACGAGCATTTTTGATGGGTAATAAGGTTCATTCTTTACTTGCGTCATCGAATTATTAAACCCATTGTGCAGCTTTTCAGCACACTGAATCTTCTGATGGTTTACAGTCGAGCTGATTTATGCAGGGCTGCCACTTTTTTCTGACTAAAAACATCTAGATTGACCTCGAAAAACATCTAGAAACATCTGGATTGAAAAATAAAACATCTAG